TATAATGGTCAGGAGTTGTACTAGAAGAATAATTATGGGGACGGGGTACTGTGTGGTTTTGGTCGGCTGTGAAGTTTCTTGCATTCATTTTCTCTATTTGCCTCTCCTAATTTGTTGGATTTTCTTCAGCCCCCCACCCCACTCCACCATAAATACACGTATGTGTGTGTTTTGTGTGTGTATATATGCATACCCCTTCGTTACTTTTCCAATGATTTAGATGTTGTTTTTGTATTAAACTCACATATGAAAGGCGGACAAGTTGTATATGTACACCACCGGATGGAAGTATCGAGTTTTATTCCAGATATTTGTGTCTGATATATATGTTAGTCTGAATAAAGATGTTCAAATAAATAAATAAATACATAAAAAAGGTGTATAGCGTTTTCTTGGTAAAATTCAGGTTTATTTTTAGCTCCATCCGGTTGATGAGTTCGCATAACCGAAAGTAAAAGTAAAATGACACTCACGATCTTTATCTAATTATGATTCTTCTTGTGAACTAGATTTCCCCAGCCAATGGTTCGTGATAAATGTATGAATGGATTCACAACAACGAGCACTCATACTTAAGAGCATTACATCCAGACACAATCTCCTAGACGCAGTGTGAAGGCAGTATCAGGAAGAGAAAGCATCACAGTTTCTTACGGATCCGCTTTGTCTGCCGCACCTCGGATAAACTTAGTTCTGAATTTCAAATATCACGTTGACAGGATGCGGAGGACAAGACAGCTGGTGTTATTTGCCTTTTCTGGTAAGAATTTGAAGAAAAAATGTGGATATGAGGTTCAAGATAGTTCTCGAAGGAAATACGTAGATTTCAAAGATGTACATTTGGATAAGAATCACACATCGCAATACATGACGCTAAATGTTTACCGCCATGGATTGATTAGAACTGTGTTCATTAAACTCAATTAGGAAAGGTAAAGTTTGACATCGAAAGGGTCATTCCACAAAAACTAGGTGGCCTACTTTGTAAACGACATGAATATAAAACGAGAGAGAGACAGAGAGAGAGATCGACGATCTTTGAATGTTGGAGCTTTAAATATGTAGCTGATGAAAATAATGAACAGGAATTCACAAAATATGTTTATCTCATGATCTTAAGCAACTATACTTTATAAGATTTATCTTTTTGTTCTATGTAGTGCTAATGACTGTAAGAGCTGGGACTGGACAAGCTACGACCCCCTATCCCCGTATAGTAGCCAAGAACGGGGATAATGTCACCTTACCATGTTCGCATAAATGGAATCTTTCTAAGGAAGAGGACAGGCTAACCCTTGATCATGCTACATGGTTTCTTACGGTAATTACTAAGGCTTGTTTAGATGGCGCTGTAAAGGAGTATATGCATTTTTACGAAGATGTTAGTTATTCAAGACACCTTTACTGTGTGACTTGTGAATATGTTTAGTTTAGTACCAATACTGATGTAATCAGAATTTTATATCATGCTGGGGTATTTTTGCTTGTAATAATGTTCTAGAGCACTGAGTGAACTATTTTGTAGTATATTTTACACCAAAGTGCTTATTATGTAATGTCGACACTATGTTATATTCCACCGTGACGTATGTATTATTATGATTGTATTCTAATAGGGGATCAAAAGTGTCAATGAAAATAATAAAAATTATTTAAGTCTTTATTTTTTAACTCAGTAACATATATTACTTTTTTGTAAACACTGTGATATAATTGTAATAGAAAGATCGTACTGTTCTTCTTATTATAATTATTACAATTATTATTATTATTATTATCATTATTAATATTGTTATGATTATTATCATTATAAGTGTATTGATTAACGATAATATTGCAGAATCCCGATAATCCTGATACGACTGTCGCTTCTCATGACTGTCCTGGGGACCTTTTATCTTGCAAGACCAGAACATCCAAGAGCCAGACTTTCTTTGACTTGGATTTTGACAACAAGAAAACAATCTAATTATCGCAGATGTTCGTAGCACCGACAGTGGTCTCTATTTCTGTGTAGTAGTGACAACAGAAGGTCTAATCCAACAAACAGTCAGTCTGAGTGTTGGTGGTAAGTAAACTGCCAATCAGGGTCGGAGTCAGTTTATTTTGAAAAGGGGGTTAAGGCAAATTAAATAAAATACTTCGAGAAGCAAAGAATAAAAATAATACATCATATTTTACTAAGGTTATGTAGATGAAACATCTTTGACAACAAGAAATTCCCGAACGGTTTAGAGTTGTCATAATCATTCTGGGTCGGAAATATCAAAGTGGGAAACATTTTCTGTTATGTATGAAGGTTTGCCATATTTGTTTAGACTTGGGGTAAATCACACTTTATAGACGATATGATTCTACTAACTATATAATGTCAGAAATACCTCTACAAACCCTTCCTTGATTATAAAATAACAAATATTTTTTTGGATGATTTGCAGGTCTCTCTAGACAATATCAGCTTTCATCAATGTCTCATGTTTGAGGATCTCTTTTTCTTTTTGAGAACTTTCAGTCAGACAGTAAATATATTATATCAGAAAATATTAATATTTGTTTTATCCGAATATGCATGTGGATGAAGACAATATCGGCTTTTGGTAATATCTTATTTGTTGAGGACCTTTTCCTCATTTTAGGAACTTTTCAGTTTATCTTCCCATCATGTTAACTGATTGAAACCTGGAATCAATAAATATGAAGATATAAGTTATACAAGTAAACTATATCCCATCCTGTTCAAGGGTGCTAAATATTTATCTTGCAAATGTTGTAAACATTTATGCGGTTTCAGGTGTCTCTTTAAGACTGTTAGAAATAAATTTGAAAGTGAATTCTTCAGAGAAGTTGTTTTAGTATCAGATTTAGTTTTGGCTTGCCACAAAGATGGCTAAAGTTAAACATTGTTGTAATTCACAACGGCCTCTTTTTGATAAAGGTTAAAATCCGACGCTAGGTTTAGGGTTTTGGTTCAAAATTAAGTCTTACTACAGAAAGTTGGTCTCAGGTCTATAGTTCCCCTTTATCATATTAAAAAAAAAAATATTTAGAATCAGTATCGAGTTTAACTGAATGAGTACAGTACAGTCAACAGTGACTTTTCTTCTTGGAATTTCAAACATGGGTGGCTGTTGTCAAATGTTTTATTTGTTTGTCTATTCTCGCCGTTTATTCATTCATGAAGCAACCGATACCTCCATGCGTATCAAGTCGTCTGGCGGTGTTCAGCCCGATGATCCTTCTAAAATAATCGTAACAGCCGATACGGAGGAAACACTAACATGTTCCACCTATCTTGGCAAGGACTTAACAGGAACTATATTATGGAACTCAGATGGACTTAATCTGACAGAGGTAAGTCGTAAGGTCAAGGCCCTGTTTCGTAAAAACTTGTTATAAATAACAAATGCTGAATATGTATATGACAAGTTTGCTCTCAGCCTATCAAATGACACTATTTCAGTAGCTTATAACAGTCATTGTAACTTGTTATTGATTATACGTTTCATGAAACAGGGCCAAGGATCATGATTGGGGACATCATGAGGCTATCTATCCTAAATTGAAGTTGAATATACATTGGAGAAAATGAAATGTAAAAAAATAAATGTTATATTTAATAATCAGTTACTACTTTTAACATATCATGCCTGACTGGAAAATGAAATAATAAAAATATTGACCATTCAGTTGACTATCACATATAATATCTTCCATGACTATAATAATATTAATCGAATTAAATGTTTTTTTGTGTTATAGTTGTTTTATTTTCTGCCTGTGGAATATCATTGGTGTATGTTTTGTTCCTTTAATGCAGACACTTCAGGAACGGATAAGCATCAGTGATGACGAATTAGATTATGTGACGGCGTCTGTCACGTTCCATCCGACTCATGCCGATAATAACAAATGGGTGGAATGTGGCATCACGGAGAGTACAAAATCACCAAGACGCTTCAGCTTGAAAGTCCAAGGTAAACTCCCAAAAGACTAAGATCGACTTTAATAAGTATCCTGCCACAGGGCTAATTCCCACTGTGCCAAGCCACAAATCCCCCCAGTGCCAAGTTTATAACGAGATATTTGGATTAACGCGATGGTACTATCAATAGCGCGTGCAAAACACTTGGCACAGTCCAATGGGTATGAACAATAACTGCTATTACGAATGCGTGCAAACATGCGAGAAGCAGAGAAGCAGTAGCTTGCTAGTGTATGCAAAGCACTATAACAATAGCGTGCATGGAGCCTTATGGCAGGCTATGAGTTAATAAGTTACAACTAGGACTATGGCAGGCCTTTCATTCACCACTGCTGGCATTGCTGTCTCAAAGGACGTGGTCACAAATATACAACATTTGAATGTCTTGGCAGTTAATGTTTGAGGGAAAATGATTAAAAATGAATAAAAGATTATAATTTTCCTTAGATATTTTCTCTCTTATTTTACATCTGGTTCAATACTTTTATGGACATGAATAGACTACCATAGTTTAATTCGTATAGTTTGTATAGGTAGAGCTTACATTTAAATGTAGCTCTGAGAAAACCTCTGTTACATTTGCACATCCCTTGAGAGACCACTGCTTGGAATGTTGAGTAGCAATCAATGGTAATTAATAGGGACTTTTAGATTTGCGTGGACTGATACGTGTGACGTCCATTCAAGTCAGTGCATTAAAAGAACGTCGATCGTAGCAATCCCCATTGTCTTCGTGTGAATCTAAAAGTCCCAAGTATCGCACCGGAAACAGTACAATAGTCATAAAGCCTGTGGTATATCTATTCTACAATGAATGAATTATGGCACATTGAGATGAGTTTTGAGGAATCTATGAGTTAAGGTCAGTAAGCTTATTTGCAAATTCCGATTAAATTCATCTAGTACTACATAGCGAGCGAAGAAAATCAACGCCCTTCGCATCCTCTTCAATCAGCACAACATTTCCCTTTGATATCATGGGTGAAATATGATTTTTTTTTTTTTTTTTTTTTTTTTTTTTTTTTTTTTTTTTTTTTTTTTTTAGGAGTGTCTGAAAATATCTAGTATTCTTACATTTTGATCGCATCTTTAAACCTTTTTTTCCTTTTTTCATACGACCAGACAAGACGGATAAATCCAGCCAAGGTAACTTTGGTATCCCTATAAACAATGGAACTTCGCCGAGCCAAGTGTGTTTTCATCATCAAAGTCGAGATCCCACTCGGAACAAGACGTGTTGTCAAGCTGATGATATTGTGTTTCTACCCAATAGGCTTTCGAATGGCGATATCAGCATTTTATGCTGTACAAACAGCGTTTGCCAAGGCTTCCAACTCAACATTGTAGGTATGGAGATTGATTTGATTTAAATTGAAATGATTTGAGTTTATAATTCATTACCAACAGTCGTCACCGACTACGGGGGATGTTTCACAAAGGCTTTTTTTCAATGACAAATGACAAAATTCAGTGACAAATCTGCTGATAACCAATCACAAGCGAGGATTTCAGTAGCTTATTACATAAACTGTCATTTGTCACCGATGACAATTTTTTGTGAAATAGGGTCCTGGTGATTCCAAGAAAAGAATCTCTCCAGGATACTTAGTCCTGTGCAAGTATGCCAGTTTCTCTTAACGCCCCACTGTCCAACTTGTAGCTACTTGCTCCCTCTATATAGAAAACTTCCCCAATCGGTGCCTGTTGGTCCCCCATGATCCTCTATTTCTTATGTTATTTGAGAGCTGAGTTGATGAGATAGCCACCTGTCAGTGACCTTGCTCTGTGGTCTAATCCCTCCTAGCCACACTAGTATTGATAAGCTTTAATAAATTGTCTGTTTTGGGGGTCACATCAACGAATAGCTTAGGGCCTACAATACGCATAGACAAAGTTTTGTAAGATGAACAGACAGATTAATATGGTGCAAATAGAGGTATTATGTAGATCTCTGTACATCTATTTTGTTTCTTTCCCAATAATAAAATGTATGTGCATCGTTTGTTGAGTATTCCGTAAGTCGCTATCCTGGCATCAAGTAGGAGTAATTAAAATTCGACCCGATTGATCTGATTATACAGTGACCATTTTATTCTTTATTAAGAGTGGATATATGAGACGAGCGTAAAGAATAATGATCGATTAGCATTGTAAATCATTGGATATTTGATGACCTGTAACAATGTTACATTATTGTTTTAAAGAAAGACAGCCAGAAAAAAAGCCTTCCCTTTCTTATTCTATCATCTTTTAACATATTTATATCTATGTATGTATCTATTTGTTAAATTGATCTATCTGTATATAATGTTTTCCTTACCAATAATGCTTTTCTCTCAAATTTTCTTTTTTTTCAAACCGTTTCTCTCTTTCTTTCTCCTTCTTTTTCCCCTCTCTCTCTCTCTCTCTCTCTTTCTCTTTCTCTCATCCAGAAGATGATAAGTCTGATGCAAACCATAGTGAAAGCAGTGGACATAACTTTACCATTGCGACTGTAATGTCCATTTCGCTTTATGTAGTCATTGGTACTGGCATCGTCGTCATTGCAGCTGTGTTCATCTGGAGAAAGAGAAAAGGTAATATACATGATCATCTTGGTCTCTCTCTCTATCTCTCTCTCCCTCCCCCCCCCCCCCTCTCTCTCTCTCTGTCTGTCTGTCTGTCTCTCTTTCTATATATCGCTATATATCTCTCTATTTAGTTCCCCACCCATTTTTACTCTCTTTGTCCGATTTCGTGCAAACTTTCACCAATCTGCTTATTATTTTTTCTGTTTTGTGTAAGAGCACTTTGTTTGTTTGTCTCTTTCATTTTATTTCTGCAATATTCAACATAAAAGAAGGTAATATAAATTAAGACCTACGTATACAACGTAAATCAATTAAATTAGCATAACTTTTTAAAAACACATAGTTGACAAATCATTTCAAAATTGAATATAACAAAACTATCGAGGTTGGACTTTTCTTTAATACCTAGCCCTCCATACACAAACACATAACATTAGCCATGAGCCATATGTATCATGACAACTTTGAAGGTTTTAATGGAATATTAAACTTCGAACGAGAATATCATGCGATCTATACACATAGTTTATATCATTGAAAATTCAAGGAAAAAATCAAGTCCGGCATTATGTTCCACAAGTTAAGTAATTCATCATAGATGTCAGGTAAATATAGAGATAGCCGGGATCTAAAGGAGAGTGAGCAGTGTTGACCCCAAACACATCTCAAGAACCTTTGTCTTTTGGTTTCACTCTGACCAATGACGCTCATTAATCAAAAATTGGAAAAAGTTATATTTGTTTTCAAAATATTCTTAAACGTGTCTGAAATCTATCATTTGATATTAATTACGTATTTCGGCATGATTTATTACTGTTTGGTGAAATCAGTTATTACTAGAAAAATAGTAAATGTTTTACCAGTGTATTATCACACGTAACATACTCTCTTAAAAACGCTTAAACGGTTGGATTCCAATTAGCAACAAAGTTATTTATATCATGGTGTTACTTCCTTGATCGCTTTCTTTTGGCAATCTTGGCATTTTGAGATTCTTAGGCAAGGTGGCTTAGATATAGAATTTCTCTGACAACAAAACAAAAATATAAATATGTTCGGGATATGCTTTTTACCTAAAGACAACCCCCACCCCCTCACCACCACCACCACCACCACCAAAAGACAACAACTACCGGAGTTTTCTTGTGCAGGCCCAGATCTTCCGCTTAAAGTTGCATTGTTAGCTGGAGTGTAATATTGAGTTATATTTATGCGTCTTTTTTTAAGAAAAGTACTTTGTTATCGGTTTGTACTGATGATATATAATCTGTATAAGTCATCATTACTTCAGAAGAAGCAAATAAAGAAAATTACATTGACATTATCCAGATCCTCCGCCATAAGAAGATAAATATTTCCCCACCAACTGACAAGAGGCAAGGTCACAAATACAATAACATAATATACAGTAAGTAATTTTAAAAAAAAAGAGTAAAAAGTGTCATTCGAAAAATAAACAGGAACAAGAATCAAATATACATAGACAAAATCAAAACAAATTCCTTAAATATGAGAATAAGAACAATATAATGCAACAGATGAAACAATAAGGTAATATGTAAATACAATGCTTGAATTTACGCATCGTTCATTAGAAAGGATACCTGTGTTTTAAATAGGGGAAGAGCAGTTTAGATCCCTTGCGGAAGTGATTATTGATTTATTTTAGAAAAAAATGAATTTTCCCTCATCTCTCCCATGAAGCATCGTATTGCATCTTTTATCAAACGTGTTGCTACTCTATTGATTAAAAGCTTCCTGCTTCTAATTACTCGAAACTGCGCATGTATGGTATTTGAAGCACTCTTTCTATGAAAGAGGTAGTTTTGAAACGATAGCTCTCTCTGTCAAGAGATTATCAACCATTGTCAATTTATTCATACATTGAATTTCCAACTGAGCAAAGTGAGATATATTTATACGTGATGTCATAATGCATTCATCTAAATGCATCATGTAATGATTTGTATGAGCAGTGGTATGAGCTATTTCAGGGCTGTTTATAGGAGAGGGGATATGAAGCAGTAAGTTAATGGGATTTCTCATGGCGTCGATTTGTTTAGCGACAGAGAAAATACCAATGATTATTTTATGTATTACACATGTAGCAATAATAATCCAATGCCAGCCCCATTGGCGAAAAAGTTGATAAGATGTCAAGAAAATTAGATATTCATATTTTTTCTACATCTGAAATACATTATAATGAATAATCGTTTGACACATAATATCTTTATATATATATATATATATATATAAAACATATAATATTCTAATCAATAGGACACCTTAATAATTTGAATACAATTGTTGTGTAACTATATGTACTTGTGTAGATATAAGTATATCAAACCATGAAATGCTAACGTTTATACCTGATGAAAATAAATCGAAAACGCTGGTGAAGTTCAATCTATGCATCTTGTGTATTGCATCTAGCGTCGTGAATTGATACATTTTGTACCAGATGTTTTCTTCAAGAGATATATAAGTATATCACACCATGAAATGCTAACGTTTATACCTGATGTAAATAAATCGAAATCGCTCATGAAGTTCAACCCATGCATCTTGTGTATTGCATCTAGCGTCGTGAATTGATACATTTTGTACCAGATGTTTTCTTCAAGAGATATATATATATAAAGAAGGAGTAGTATCAACATTTGTATGCACCCTTTTCCAAATATTCTTCTTAATACCATATATGAAAATGTCGCCATGAGGAACAAACATATTGCAAAATATTGTTGACGATGGTCACATTTTATATCAACTTTGTATCATTCAAATTTCTTTATTTTCTCCAAATCACTTTCAATTTAATCTCAGCTTTGAGATGTCGCCATCACGAGGAACACATATACTGTGAGCCACCAGCCCTCCCAGCAAGACTGTCATCCTTACCTCACCCTCCTCTCTCCTGGATCGAATGCGTAAGTAGCAGTGACATAATCTTTGCCCAGTGCCCCCCCCCCCTTCCCCTTACCCTCAACCCCACCGCCCCCTTTATTTTTTAACCCGCCAACAACTGAGTTCTCTCATTTCTACTGGTATACAGAAACAATTCGGTTCTAATTGGGAAATGAGCTACAACCAATGTAGCATGCCTTTAGTACCAAACGATTGTGTCCGCTTAAAATGATGTCGAAAATTATTTAACTTTTTTTTTTTTTTTTTTTGGGGGGGAGGCTTGTTGGATAATTTTCGGCATGAATCTCCCCCAAAAATCTGGATCGGCCCCAGATCCTTTCATTCGAAGTTGGATTGTTTATTCTCGCCCCCCCCCCTTTCTCCCCACAAACTTAAACTATGTAATCATGCATGGCTATGGTTTGTACATATATATTATATATACACAGGCAGCAATAAAAAAAAATGCCCGCATAAAAGTTGACTTGGGCTTAGACGTCTTCCCTGATTCGACTTCCTGACTTAGGGGGAGGGAAATCATCCATAATAGTACGTAGTTTCGGGGATCGGAATCCATACCTGTTTGAAGTCCGGAGACTTATCCACTAGACAAGGATAGCCCTACAACGAATACCCATTATAAATACCCACGCAGTCATTCTGGAGTTTCCCACCTACTAATTAAATAATATTAGCTGACCCCGCCTGTAATTAATTTGATAATTAATATTCTACGAACAATCAGGATTCCGGTTTCGAGGGGAAATGGTTTTGTTAACGGCAACCGGACTTTTCAGTTCCATTCAAACTTAGTTTTGTTATCTCTCTCTCTCTCTCTCCCCTCCCTCTATACATATTCTACTCGTATTGAGAACAAAGTACATCGTACTATTGTTTCAATAAGCTGAAGATATATTAATTTCCCTTTTCCTTGTCTTTTGTAGTTATTGTGATGTCGGTTCATGTATCCCTTAACTCTTCCTTTCCCTGACTGTTAGCGTGTATTGTATTTCATAAAACTAACTTTAGTTAATTATGTCATTTGCAGTCTAAGGAGCCTATCCACAACAATCTCTGCTTTAATTTCCATAGGCTCCGCAACTATATCTCTCAAGTTCAACTGAAGGACAATTTTCTAAATAGTGTGTACCGGTATTGTATGTACATGCATATTATAATCATTTTCATTATGTTGTTATACTTTTTTTAAATTGAGATATTGTGGAAACCAATAAACTATCCATCTATTTATCTCTCTTTCTCTCTCCCTCTCTCTCTCCCCCCCCCCCCCCCCTCTCTCTCTCTCTCTCCCGTTCAATCATGCAGGAACAAGAAGACGACTCTTTCGATGACGGCAACTATGCTGGAGACGATGAATTGCAGGAACTCTCTACCACGTATTCCGACTTTGTCCCTGGAGCACACCGGTCGCTCACTAGGACGATCTCAACGCTCAGTCGCAGAGGCCTTCGTGACTCGGAAGTGGTCTACGCGAACTTTCCGTTTACGACTGTTCTTTCAAGAATTAAAGCGGTTGGATGGTCCTATTTCTGAGGATATTGTGTATATGTGGATTCTGAGTATATGTGTACCTCCCAAAAAGTCATGATAATGGTGCAAAAGTTGAGGACGTTTTGCGGTGGTGAAGTCGGAGACAGCTGCAATTTATAGTCGTTGGGCCGCTGAAAAAAAAAGAAATTATATCTTCTTTAGGATTTGAAAACGAACTTGGATCTAAACCAAGGCCACGCACCCCCCCCCCCCGAAAAAAATGGCCTCGACGGAAACACTAAAGAGTCTATTTAGATGGAAAAGCAATGTTAAAACACCGTGGTGACAATGTGTATTGCGTCATTTACTTGGAGAAATCAGACGCTTGACAGTATGGCAATGTGATTATGGACAACCATTGAACAATATTTGTTTGCCTTATTTGAAGGATAGCGTCAGCGATTAATACAGTCAAAAATGAATGAGGAAAAGTACTTTCTTCAAAATAATTAGAAATTAAGTACCAACAAGACTGGGGTTCTATATGGAGGGACATATCCTAATAAGGGAGTTTACAGCTAGATAGCACATGTTACAAATGACCCCAAATATCCACAGATCTTTTACACATGGAGAAGTTCCACTTTGAGCATCTTAGAATAATAACTGCCAAAGTCCTAGATGTGCTTCATGAATACCTTTTGTTTGACCTCTTGAAAAGAATACTTCCACCTTCGTATCATAGAATGTACCGTTGGTGCATAAATGAATAATGTTACATAACTTTCATGAGCGCATATCCAGTATTCATCTCTGTGGGTTTTACCATTTTGGTACATATGACCTTTATCTGCCCATGCGCAGATTGTATCTGTAAACTCCCTTATTAATAAAATTGTGCTAGAAAAAAATATGGATGCCAAATGGGCGAGACCTGTAGTGAGATAGTGTCCAATAACAGTGACGAAACATAGTTAGCTATGGTCATAATGGCGATTCCCTAAGAGGAAAAAATGATATTTTGCTCATCTGAATTTATTACGGTTGATAAAGCGGGCTCTTATTATATCTATTTTGAAGTATAGCAACGAAGGCAGACAGACTAGAGTAAATCGCAAGAATTAATAGAAAGACAACATCGTACATTATAAACGGAAGATAATTAAAAGAAACAAAGTACAGGAAAAAAAATCTTTCGGACTGTAATTGGCTACTGAAAGATAGATTTAATACCAGCCAGCAATGCTAGTTAGAAAGTCAAAATTTAAAAAAATCCTCACGAGCTCTGTCTGCTGTCACATGTCCATTTGATGAGTGGAAGACGAAAATATAAAGTATGTCTGTGCTCGTTGATGATCTAAAGTGGAATTTGTATATTGATGAGCTAATGAAAAGATGTAATAGAAAAATGTATATGTTGAGGAAACTGAAAAAAATTAACTTACCTTTAAATGATTTAGTATTAATCTACACGGGTTATATACGACCAGTATTAGAATATTGCGCCCCAGTGTTTCATAGTGGTCTTACATCTGAACAGAAAAACAGTCTCGAACAAATACAACGGAGGGTTTGCTAAATTATTTTAGGCTCTAATTTTATGTCATATTCACATGCATGTCAAGTATGCAATTTAAATACACTTGAGGAAAGAAGACTAGCACTGTGTAGACAATTTGCAAAATCTTTAGCAATTCACCCAGCATGCCAGAACTGGCTACCTTAAAAAAAAAAAATTAGTCTAATTTCATTACGTTAGGTTCCTACATATCATAATTTCAAATGCAAAACCAATCGCTTCAAAAAATCCCTTTACCATATTTGATCAATCTAATTAACCATAATTAAATGCTTTTTTAACTACATGTTAAATTTCAAACACAGTACTAGTCTTCACCTCAGTTGTCTTTAGCCTTAAAATCCAATGTATTCATTCTAAACGAGAGTATACAACTTTCTTTTGTCATTCTTAATGTGTAATGTTATTTTGAATGTATTTTTAACAATCTTTTTAACGTGTCAATATCTAAAAATGCGATATATCACTTTATTATGTCAATATGTAAACATGAATAATCTAGCTTCTGCTGCTTTACATTAAAATGACAATTATGATGCATGTATTTTGAAATTACATAATGAACCATTATTGAATTTGAATTGAAAGTTGCAATTCTCCAACTTTATTTTACCAATTATTTCTTAATATCACTTTGTGATGACCATTAATCTTCATAAATACCATACCAATGATGGACGGTTAGAAATTCCACCCTAAATCGTTGAGATGACAAAAAAACAAATGATTCTTTAAAGCTTAAAATAATTTATATCCTGCTCTTGATGTTCAATATTGCACAAAGTAACAAAGGTGATTGAGTCAACATCTTAAAATTGGCGCAATGACGCAAAAAGCACTTTCCAGTTGTTTTAAATGACAATGCAAATAAATACCATAATCCATGCACACTTTCATCAGTAAACTGAGGTTGAGAAGAAAACAGAATGTCAAAACTAAATCGTCTGATTATGAATAGACCCTATATTATTATGCCAAACAAATTCGATTGTAAATACATTAACACCAAATCCATTTCAATCAAGTGTTATTCAATAGTTCCATTTCGTTTAAATTGCTGATATTGTGATTCGTGATAATAATACAGTTGTATTTTCCCCATCTGTAGGATCGTTAGAAATATCTTTAAATTCAAATTGAAAAAAAAATCGAATTGATATGGAATCTTCCCGATGTATGAGGCATAATATAGGGTTCAATCAAAGTCGACATTGCAGATTCCAATGTTTACGTATGTATATTTCTCGTGCAGGTATAAGTGTGTGATATAAGTGTATATATCTATGTGACATATAGTACTGTATTTATAATAATTTTCACCTCACATAATTATGAAATAAAGCAATCGATTAACCTCAAATGTACTCAAACAGTGGTCACCTGTCTCTGAATGTTGTTATATGACAATCTTAATGGTTCATTGGACTCGTATTACTCTCAAAATAGTCAAATTTCCGGATTAAAACAATAAAAGACTTTTCGATTGAAAAAAAAAATCGTGACGAACTATTCAATATTGGCCATAGACCAGTTCGCAGGGGTTCTCCCTGGACCCCCCCCCCCCCCGGCCAGGGATCTGTTAAACAATGATAGGACCCACTCTGCACTCTATAATACATTAATGTATTATTTGATAATTGATGTGATTGATGACTAGAAGTTGTTTCCACTTTTGAAAGGAATACTTTCACCTGTGTATCAGACAGTGGTGTCGATTTGTATCCGTGGTTGGGGGAATGATAGGTGCCAATATATTTTCGGCAATGTATCAAAGCAACCAAGAGGTAGAAGCGTGTGGCGGGTTGCTCCCCCTCCCTTCCAAATTATTAATTTTTTCAAGTCACCCTCATTAAAGATAAAATTTCAGAGAATATAAGAGTGGTAATACATTAATAACATGCTAAATGTTAGTCCTGACTCTTGCCTGCAGTGTAGGCCTACCAGACTGATATCATCTATTTTTAAACGAAATTTAGACATTACCACAAAAAAAAAATCCAATGGTGAGGGATATCAACTTGTGAAAGTATTATGTTACCAGTGGGCAAATGCATTAATAAAGCAACCAGGAAAGGTTCATGTAGACAGAAAATTATTTATTTCCTGGTGATAGTAACATACATTTTATGAATATTGATGTCTCCAAACACCATTGACCCATTCCAATATTCTGTGTAAGGAGATCTCAAAAAACATAGTTCACAGGAGCGGCCGAGCGACTTCCAAAGTGGGGGGAGGGGGTGTGGCACCAAGAAATAAGGGCACTTTCTGGAGAAAAAAAGGGGCACCTACAAAGGGAAATCTCAAAGCGAAAATATACAATTTTGTAGACATTGGAATACCCCTACATTGTGATTACAATTATCAGGGATGTTTTTTAATATTTGTTTCACTTTATACACCATACAAAATATTGCTTTAGCATCGTGCTTTGCAGTTGGGTTTGATTGTCTGAAAATCGTTTTTAAGATGTATGTGGTCGCAGTGCGAAAAATTGCATATTATAAAGAGGAAGAAAAAATCCAATCCTAATGGGGTTATAAGCACATTCTCATAACGGAAGACTGAAAAGACCTTTGATAACATGAGTATATCATCTAAAGCTCACCATATAAAAAAAATGGAGAGAAAAATTAATGATCAGAGCCCCGAGAGTAGTTAATGGTTATTAATCGCAAGATGACTATCAACATACACATTAGTGCTCTGGTCAGGGCCTTAGGGGAATGTTATGCTTATTTTAGAGCGTATCTGGTATGATAAGTATATCTGGGTGAAGAAGGAGATAATGGAAGTTTGTTGTTTGGTAGTTGGAACGTAAGTTTTATATTATGTTTTTAAGAAACAGACAGTTTGTATAAGATCAGGAGTGGAAATGTTCTGTCATTTTGAGAACCAAATTTTTCATCAGTGATATTCTGTTTCATTGAATCGAGTTTCCCGCAGAAAGGAGTCAGTTGGTTTAATTCAAGATGGAAGAGAGTCAAATGAAGAACCAAAAGCAATATGTTTTTCGTTTACTAATGAGAACTATCAGAGGCGGACCTCGGGGGGGGGGGAGGGACAGTACCCATCACTTTTTCAAGCACCCGAAAGGAAAAAATAAAAATGGGGGTAGTTATTAAAAGGGGAAGGGGCACTTCTTACAAAGGAAAAGGGGCACTTGTCAAAGTATAAGAGGCACGTTCCTCTCAGATTTAAATTTATCAGAGGTGAAGGGGGACTTGAAAAGGGGCACTCACCTGGGATGAATAGGGAAACTTGTGAGAATGGAAAGGGCCACTTATTACAATGGAGAAGGGGCACCTATGATATTTTAATAGAGGCATTTATTAGAGGTGTTAGAAGGGGCATTTATGAAAAGGGGATCTGGCTCTTAGTCTTATTAAAACAGGAAAAGGAGCATTCATCAGAAGGAAAATGGCACTTATTAGAAAGAAAAGGGGGGCACGCGGCAAAATAAAAGGGGCATTTTTCAGAGGTGAGAAGAAACATTCATTAAAGATAAAAAGGGGCACTTATCAAAACAGGAAGGGGCACTTAGTTCAAAAGAAAAGAGCACTTGTTAAAGTAAGTTGGGCACTTCTCATATTTGAATAGGGGCAAAAGTTATAGGTGAAGGGGCACTTATCAGAGGCCCGGGGGTAAGAGCCACCTATAGAAAAAGGCACCTATTAGAAATAAAAAAGGGGCACTTATATGAAATAAAATGAGGCACCTTTCCTATAAAAAGAGGCCTTTTAATGATACACGAACAACTGGGGACAATGTGCCCCCTGCCCCCCTCCAGGCTCTAGTGCCTCTGCCACAAGCATATATAACAGTCGGAAACAGTCGAACTGTTTAAGTGCCCTCATGTACTTTTAGCCAAATGTTTGTGATTCAGTTAAGAGACTAAGCATGTCAATTTCTGCTTATTTTTTTTTATAAAAGGGAGGATTTGAAAAAGAATATGAAGTGTCATATTCCATTGCAAAAAAAAAAAGATGGTACTGGTGTATTGATCCATCGATGTCGATTCTTTCCTCCTACCATTTACATTCACTGCAATTTTATATTGAACTCTCTGTGGAAAAGCATGGAACCATGACGAACTGCAGTATTGCAGAGCGGGATGAATACCACATTGAGTGAATTATTGTTTGATTTATAACAGCCATAGAACCGTGCACCATGATCTTACTGTTTTTCCAGATATTATTTCAGAAGTTGTGTGCTGGAGAGGGGCTGAGTAAAGATATGCCTACCAGTTCGTCGCTGTTTTCACGAAGTGACGGTAGTGAAAAAAAAAATTGCATTCACTTTGCGTTACGATTTTCCTCACTACCGTCACTTCGTGAAAACAAGGACGAGTTGTGGTTTTTAGTTGTGGTTTTGTTGAGTATTAAAATGCATCTTCCTGGTATCGAAAATAGTGTTTAATGCTCAGTCCGTTATGATTGCCATGTTAGGCTAACCTCGTGAATTAATGAAATTTATGAAACTCTTTGTGATATGTAAGGAACTGAACAAGCTATCTTTAAAAAAATACATACGACTCAATACGAGTTCTGTATATCATCTGTTGGGTGTCAGAAAGGCATTAAAAGTCATCTTGTATATCAGGATTATAATGCCCTTCTGGCTTTCAGCAGGCAATATTATATTTCTGGGTTTTGTAAAATATTCATATTTTTCTTTTCTTGTTGTGATAAGTGGAAAGAATTTTCAATAATGTGCCTTGAATCATCCACTGCATATTGCAATATTGCGATAAATGCTGCTTGGCAAAGTACCACTGCTTGGCTTTGGATCTGTGTCTGTCATCTTGCCTTGTTTTCTTGACCAAGTTTAGAAGGAGACAAAGATTTCATCACGACCATTAGAGCGCTATAAGGGCTGCACCTTAATTCTGATGTCCAAACAATTACAAGTTGAGTGACTGCTGCACTCCATGCAGCTTTCGGGAGGAAAAGAAATGATGAGGACAAAAATACACCTCTGTTCATATTGTCTAAAGTGCAACTTCCTTTTGATTCTTTTTGAAATGATAACAAAATGTGATCAGTTGTTACCGTATTTTAGGTTGAGAATTGACAGAGGAACTGTACTTTCTGAGAATGGTTGTTCACAAGCATTGTAATCATTAGGACTTCCTGCTTGTGAATGGTAATGGAGAATAGCATTGTCCGACAAGAAACACCCATGTGATATAGATGGGACAGTGGCGTGACGTAGAGGAAATGACGATTTGTAAGAAAATATTCATCGTTCTGGCTTACTCGCTTATTTATTTTCCCTTATTTATTCATTTCATATAACAATTGTTTGCACAATAAAGAATATAGTTGACAAAGTAAGGTCAAAATTATGAAATGAGGAACCTACTGGAAAGCATAGCTTGTCTTTGTAGATATAATATAATAACATATTTTCGTAAACCATTTTAAAGTATCTAAATAATCAAACAAAAATACAAAAAGAAAAGAATGACAAAACGGGACACAAAGGACAGGAAAATTAAATAAAAAGATAAGACAAGACATGACAAAATAAGTCATAACAGCACAAGATAAACAAGACAGGATGGGACAAGACACACAAAAGGACATGACAGGACAAAACAAGACAAAAAACAAAGCTGCACACAACAGAAGTTAGAAGACGGATAAGCAGGACTAGGAGGAGGTTTTTTTTAAAAGGGACTTTGTAATATTGTTCAGATGAGGGACGTGGTGCTAAGGTAGTGACTTCAATGCTAGATGTACAATTAAAGATACTCTGAAAATTTGAGTGAAAACGGATCATGCTGCATTATTCATGGTACAAATCGGGAAAAAATGATCTGATCGATTCATTAATTCTCCCAACTATATTATTCTACTTCTATTCTGCTACTTGTCAAAAGCCTGTTCAGCATCAAGACAAGGACAATTTAATTACATTTTAGGTGTAAATCGTCACAAAGCAATAAAATGGCTCTACATTCCATTCCAGACAGTTAAGTGTTGACAGATTTTTATAGCCTGTTTTATGTATTTTTGTCATGGAAAACGGTTGGGAAAATTCAAAAATGGTTGAGAGAATTTACTGTTAATCACTGTTAGAGGGTGCCTCACATCGACGCCTTAATTCAAAGAAAACCATAGATATCTTCGTGGTTTGAGAATTTGTTCAGCGGATTTTTTGCATGTCAGAGGGTTAGTATAGTAAAAGGAATATAGTAAGTAACATTTTACTCAACCTTAATGTTACCGAGTCACTTTCTCCATTAAGTGTTACGTACTTTCACGATTATTATTTCGAAGTGGGAGGGGTGGAGGGGGTGGGGGGGGGGGGGCACGATTCCATACATGTCATATCTCTATCAAGCAAGTAAGCATTACAAATAAAAGGGTTTTCATATTTTTCAGGATCTGTTCCCTTTTAGTTTGGTTGGCCGGGTTGACTCACCGAGACACTTTTTGCGCGTTAGATGTTCTTATGGTATTCAAACTTGGTTTTAGCCGGTGGGGGGGGGGGGGGGGGGGGGGCACGTGCCCTCACGAATCTGCTACTGTGAATATTTACTACATCACTATTGAAGAGAGCCCTCTAATGTAATTTGACAAGTCAAACAAATAAATATCTTTTTAACATTACGGTATAAAGACCTGAGAAAATCAACAAGATAAACATTTATAAAATGAAAACAGGATCGACCTCCAGTATGTTTCGTTAAACTGAATTAGCCTACTGTGTAAATAAAATGATTAGTAATACGGTAAATAACTGTTGCATACCCTTGTAAAAATATAATTAGTGTAAATGTATTTCAGTTTTCTATCGTCATCGGCGGGTTCAATGGGGGTGGGGTACAGAAATATTCATAACAAATTTCTATGGATTTTGTAACTGCACAATAATGATCGCACAGCTAGAACCATAGAGGGCGCGCATCACGAATTGTTACCTAAACTTCACCCCCAAAAAATCAAGATGGCTCTTCGTGTTCTTGTTGGCGTAAAAAGAGTGATAGATTATGCAGTTAAGGTAAAATTACAACCTTCTAAAACGTTACATTAGTCTCAGTTACACTCAATATTGCTAAAAATATATTTTAATTTGAATTTATTCACTATCTGAATCAATTTATTGGATGCAATAATTGCACGACACACACCCGCGGTCACTCACACAGTCACAGGCCGTGGTCGTGCCGAGCCGTCCCCAGCCGACTCCCACCGCTGGAGCTTGGAGCTGGAGTGTGCTTGCCAATATTGCCCTCGGTGACTATCCGGCGTAGGGCACGTCTATTGTCAGATTGAGGGCCGTGATATTATGAAAAATGATATTGGTATAAAATAGGAAAATTAACTGGTCAGTGGAAGTGGTTAAAGGGCATTGCAGGGTCATTGAAATTATTAAAAAACTACCAGAAAATAGCTTGTTAAATGTTGGGCCTACCACGATATTAAACTTGAAAAGCATTCATAATAATATTAAAGCAATTCAAAATCAAAGCATTCAAGCAATTCAAACCAAACTTAGACCCTAGATTATGTATGAGCATGCAAGAGTGGACTGAATAGATGTTGGGTGTATGAGGTCAAAGGTGTAAGATGGTGACCAAAGTTTCACAAGCATGAACAGATTAATTTAAGAAATAAAGTTTGGTTTATGAGGTCAGATGTTAATGTCTTGACAAAGACAAAGTGTGCGGCGGTGGGATTTGAACCGCAAACCATGATGTGATCCACAGCCCGGTGGCATATCCATGGACTCCTCGACTGGATATAAGACATCCAGTTGCATCATTTTCTTCTTCTGTTTTTTTTTCAGATCCGCGTCAAACCGGACAACATGGGGGTGGTGACGGAGGGGGTGAAACACAGTATGAACCCATTTGATGAGATTGCTGTAGAAGAAGCTGTAAGGCTGAGAGAAAAGAAGCTTGTCAAGGAAATCATTGCAGTCAGCTGTGGACCAAAACAATCTCAGGTACATGTACGCTCTAGACAAGAGAGTCCTCTATTGAAATAGGACTTAAACTTTTTTTCAATTAAACAGTATGATATATACCTTCAGAGAATTGACCTGTCTTGCCACTTGTAAAAAGTCGCTTGAGAATTCATCTTCCCTCAGTAATTAAATGTGATTTACTTACCATATTTTTTATAGATTACGTATTTCATGTTTCTTCTTCACTTTCCTTTAATTCTGTAAGCACAGTGGTAATTTGTGTTTATAGCACTCCTGTTTCAAAAATAAAATAAGGTGAAACTCAAAAACAAAGCTTGGGCGGGGAACACCAACAAAGAAATACGGGTTTCTTCAAAACCATAATCCGACTCATGAATGATTGTTTCATTTCATGTAAGTATGGAAAATAGAAGTTAGGATTGTTTTGTAACATTATACAAATTATGCTCTCAAACACTTTGATATTTCTGTGTTGAAAAGACCATGTGATCTGGAAGCAGATGGCATGAGAAGGAAAGGAAAACCAAAGACTTTATTGAAATATATGGTAAAGAAAGATAGCAGCAAGGTTTGTGTTCAATGAGGAGGATTATTGAGACAAGAATAAGTGGAGGAAGGAATCTGTACATGGTGTGAAATACCGGTTACCCCACGTAAATGCTGACTTTAATAAATGTTGATGATGATGATAATCCCATTCTGGATTTTGACTGACAGTATGATCATGTTTTCAAAACATTAGAAAGCACACTTTGGTCTGTATTCTTGTTATTCAGTTAAAACCAACCCTGTGTCTGAGTACTTGGAGTAAAATCGTGTTTTACAAAAGGAATTCTTAGACCTCTGACTCGATTCCTTTGTTGCACCTGATTTTAAACGGAATCACAAACCCAGCATGTAATTTAAAGCTTATCTGCCGTAGTTTACAGGAGGGATTATACAGCCCTACAAGGTCACCGGACAGGTGGTTATCTCATCAACTCAGCTCTCCGTTAACATAAGAAAAAGAGGATCATGGGGGACCAATGGTCACCGATTAGGCATTGTTTGTTATATAGAGGGCGCAAGTAGTTACAAGTAGTGCAGTGGGCCTTTAAGTATTATAATACAGACCTCTATCTCTAGCATTGTTGCTCCATTAATCCATGCAGGAAACATTACGGACAGCACTAGCCATGGGTGTAGACAGAGGTATTCACGTTGAAGTGAGCGGAGCAGAGTATGAGGGCCTCGCTCCATTCCATGTTTCCAAGATCATTGCAAAACTAGCTCAAGAAGAGGATGTTAACTTAGTCATTCTGGGCAAACAGGTAAGAAGTGTGAACTTTAATTACTGTACTCAGTTTTGGTTGTGAAATGAAGTTGAGAATGAGATGGTCAGAAATCTGAGGTCACTTCAGAAAGACATTATACCTGTGGTCAAATTTAAAAAAAAAATGTTATTGTGATTTGTGAAAATGATTTTATGGAATTTTTAACCCCCATAATGTGAGGCGAGCAAAGAAAATAGTATAAGTTGTAGTGGTGATAGTAGTATTAGGTAGGAATAGTATTTTGCCTAAATATTTTAGTTAATCTAACTAGAATACATGTACACTGTACATTAAAATACTTTAGTGGCGCATCCGCATACATTTACTTTATAGCTACCAGCAGCATTTCAGAGGAAGTACTTAATTTGGAGAGGGTACATGTACAATGTATATCTTTGGGAACCACCCTCTCTCTCTCTACTCACTCCCTCCCTCTTCTCCTGTCCGTCCCTCCCTTTTCTCCTTCCCTCCCTCCCTTCTCTCCTTCTTTCCCTCCATCCCTCCCTCTCTCTACTCACTCCCTCCCTCTCTCTCTCTCTCTCTCTCTCCTCTCCTTCCCACCTCTCTTTCTCTCCCTCCCTTTCTCCTTCTCTTCTTTAATCCCTTCCCTCTCTATCGTCTCCTTCTCGCCCTTCCCCCTCTCTTTCTCTCCCTTTCCCCCTCTCTTTCTCTCCCTTTCCCCCTCTCTTTCTCTCCCTCTTTCTCTCTTTCTCTCCCTCTTTCTCTGCCTCTATCTCTCTTTCTCTCCCTCTTTCTCTCCCTCTCTCTCTCTCTGTCCCTCCTCCCCCCTCTCTCTCTCACACACACACACACACACACACACATTCTCTCCGTCTCTCTCCGTCTCCCTCACAGGCAATTGACGATGACTGCAATCAGACCGGTCAAATGACCGCAGCCCTTCTGGACTGGCCTCAAGCGACCTTTGCATCCGAGGTCAAAGTTGAAGACAGCAAGATGGAAGTGACGAGGGAGGTCGACGGTGGACTAGAAACGATCCAGGTTTCCCTACCAGCGGTCCTCACTGCAGATCTAAGGTTAAATGAGCCACGGTATGCTACACTACCTAACATTATGGTAAGTGGTTTGTAGATGATACAGCCTTTGTTCTGGCTCAGCTTTAGCTGGGGTAAAAATGTTGATTAATGAGCGCAGTAGAGTATATTCACACACACATGTAGTAGCTACGCTATGTACATGTAAATGGACATTTTATTTAGGTAGATATCAAGACCCAATAAGCGAGTTCGTAAATAGCTCTGGAACGCATGACCCCAAAATATCCACAGATCTTAGACACGATGGATACTTCCCACCTGTGCATTTTAGAATAATCACTGCCAAAGTGATGGAGGTGCTTCATAAATACCTTTTGTTTGCCTCTTGAGAAGAATACTTCCACGTGTGTATCAGATACATATACTGTTGGTGCATAAATGAATACTGATTACATAACTTTCATGAGCACGATCCGAGTATTCGTCTCAATGGTTTTACAATTTAGGTACGAATGACCTTTATCCGCCCATGCGCAAATCCTAGTTACAAACTCGCTTATTAACATGATTATTACAGGTGAGGATTTGATTGGATGAGAGTGACCCAACATTCGCCCTGACAACAAAAATCGCTCCAGGCTTTAATAAAAGGTCATGACTCATGAGGCTCATTATGCATACAAAAATAGCTTGTGAACACATTCTCATTAGAACTGATGGATGGATTACAATGAAACTTACATGTAGGACATGTACATTATATCTTGCAAAGCCAATGGACTGTGATAGTGGTGGTTATTTTACCTGACAGCTAAGAAAGCAATAAATGCTTGTTAGTAAGCAACCAGGAGCCTGATGGCTTAAGGTCCTCTCCGAGGGACCTGGTAATGAGGATTAATGCTTTACCAAAGGGCACTAGCGCATCGACTTGGTTTCGAACCCGGATCATCACCGGATAACGAGACCACTGCTCTACCGACTGAGCTATCGCGCCTCTACTGATTAGATTTTAGGGTCATGAGGTCAAAGATCAATGGGTCATACGAGAAATAGCTTGTAATCATGATGTTCTGAGAACCTGTAAGTGGATCACAATCAAACTTGAATTTGAAAAATTGCTTCTGTTTAGGTTTGTAAAATTGCTCTATGACGGAGGCATAATTTTCGAAGCAGTCAAAGTTCCATCTAGTTTTCTTTCCTTTACTTTACTTTAGCATATGTTTAGGGTTGCAGTTAGGAATTTAACAAGTAAAGGATATGAACACAGAGCAATTTTTGGAACATGTCTTGTTGAAATGTTAATTAAATTAGGATTTAATTACCTATTACTAACATTTTAAATTGATGCTAATCAATGGGGGATTCGATCAGGCAATAATAAACAGATATTTCCTCCAGGCTTTATTTCATCAATGATATAGGGTAGGGACAAGGGTTGCAAAGGCCGTTCAGATTAGAATTAGGGTTAGAATTTGGGTTAGTATATCACCCAATGAGAAATTTTTACCATAGCAAGTATTATACAATTAATTAGCAAGATTTGTTTAGAGATTGAGTGAGATTTTATAACCAATTACACAATTTGAACGTTGGAAATTGTGTTATTTTGGGGGAGATTAGTGTAGAGAGATACAGACTTTGGTTGGTTCAGTGCTTGGGAGTTATGTTTATACACTATGAACATGACTGACAAAGAAAGCGGAGAAAATAAACAGTTCCTCATTCTACCCTCAACAATTGCTGTGGTGGACAAAGGAACATCCTTTCACTGTTATAATGTAAACATGTGTAGAACAGGTGTCACATGCATATTCAGTAGAATGAGGAACTGTATATTTTGTATGCTTTCTTTGTCCGTCATGTTCATAGTGATACACTCCCATAGCAGAGCCCTTGAAACAGTATGAGGTCTGTATAAAGATCTCCAAATTTTAACTGTGAAACCCACAACGAATATATTTAAACAAGGGGGGGGGGGGGGGGGGGGGCTGCAGTCCTTCACAATGCCAATCAAACCCCTTGTAAAAAAAGTAAGTGTGGAACATTGCCCACAGTATTGAGAGTCCAAGCTTGATTAAATTATTATTCAATACCAGGGGCCCGTTTCACAAAGCCTTTTTTCATTGACAAATGACAAAATTCAGTGACAAATCTGCTGATAACCAATCAGAAGCAAGGATTTCCGTAGCTTATAACAAAAACTGTCACAAGTTTTGTGAAACGCCCCCCAGTTCTACTTTACATGTGTATACAGGACTTTGTGTTTGTCAAAGTCACCCATATAAAAAGCTAGAAAGAAGTACAATCCTTATCACCTGAATCACGACCTCTGATTGTTTACCTAGTAAATAACCAGTGTCAATTGAAATTGCTTACTCAGCATATTCAACACTAAACCAACGCAGATGAAGTTTGGAAGAGTTTGAAAACCATATACTGTACCTGTAGTTACAAGTTAATTCACTGCTCGTTGTTCTGCCTGTGTGAGGCAGTTGATGTGTGGAAATTCAATTCTCTAGCAATGGCATAGGAATGTGTCTGATCTTTCATAGGGACTGGGTATCCTTGCCTCGGATTCTAAACATACATTTTGAAGCAATTTTTTTTTTAGGGCTTCAATATTACACTATATCACAGACACTGATAGCACTTTAGGGCCATGCATCTGACTGGAAACATTGTTAAACAATGCCTTTAATGTAGTTGTTTTGCTTGAAATGTAAAAGCAAACTGGTTCCTCAGTCTACAAAGGGTTTCCAGTGAAACTACACATATCATGACTGCAAACATGACCACCATGAAACTACATGTACATTAGCATTTGAGCATTAATAAGAATGGAAAATGGGCCTTTTAATATCGCTATATAAATCTCATGTATTATTAATATTATTATTAGTTGCTTTAATTGTGATTGTTGTCTTTCCTCTCATTTGGTAATGAGGTCAAGCCATTTTACAGGAAAATTTTATTTCATCTTTTATTAAAATGTTATTAGGAGATCAGTCCAATCGTTATTCTGGTTTTACTTTTAAAGGTATTAAAGTATTTAAAAATATATGTTGCACAAAAGAGGCATTCTGGTCTATTTGTATTTGCTTTTTTTGCCACCTCAGAAAGCTAAGAAAAAGCGTATTTTAAAGAAGAAACCAGATGCAGACCTGCCAACCACTACTATTTAGTCGTATTCCATACAACTTTTCAAAGCAAATACGGCAGGACGATTTTCCTCAATAAAATGTGATTTAATTTTTTATTTTTATTTTTTTAAATAAATACATTTTGCGTTGTGTGTTCGTGCCATTTTCAATGGCAAAATGCCCATTCTGTCCTGTAAAGTATCTTGCAAGCATCTTACATCAGCAATTTGGGGATGTTCATTGGTTCATCGAACACAACAGTCGTGACGAAATCATGCATATAGTATATTCAACCAATGATCCATGAACAAAATTTTTCCTGTATGTAGGAACTGTAAGAGGCATTGATCCATGTAACAGTCCGTGTTTATTTTTAAGAATACAACTTTTGGGATTAAAGAATCAAGTTTTTGAACTCCAGAGGTTGGCAGGTCTGCAGATGACCTACATGTACATGTAGGAGTTCATGTCACCCCACGGGTACAGACAGTCGGGTCTTTGTGGGTTTTTGGCTTGTTTTACCCTGTAAGAAAGCAATGGAGAAGCCAGATCTCAGATCATTTACATTTTATACTTGTTGGTATTTTTACCTGGAGGGGATTCCTAAAAAAAAAAATTGTGTTGACTTGTTTTAACCTCGTTAGAAAGCCAAGAAGATTGATGTAATCACCAAGGATAGATATGTCTAGTAGAGGACTCTTTAAGAAAATCTTGTTTTTCTTCCTTTTTTTTTTTCTTCCTTTTTTTTTTCTTTTCCTTTGCTTGTTTCCCATCTCAGAAAGTGAGAAATGAGCTGATCAAAGGTTGATTTAGGGGTGTAGTTTCACCAATAGACAATCTTATCCTTCCATGTTTTCTTTGGTTTGTTTTACCCTTTCTGAAAACCAAGACAAAGTCTATTTAATTAAAATGAATAATGGCGCTATATAAATCTTGTGTATTATTATTATTATTGTAAATAAACAAGCTAATGTAAGAGTTGATGTGACCCCAATCTACCAAAATAGAGTCTAAAACTCTTGTTTTTGGTTTTTCTTTGTCTTGTTTTACCCCTTCAGAATGCTGAGGAGAAGCCGATCTAATGTTGAATCCATATTTGACTTGCTAGTTTCACCCAATAGACAATCGAATCCTTCCATGTATTTCTTTGGTCTGTTTTTACCCCTTCAGAAAGCCTGGGAGAACTAGATCTAAGGTTGAATCTTCTTTAAATTTGCTAGTTTCACCCAAGAGACAATCTAATCTAATAGAGAAACCAGCTAATCTAAGGGTTGATGTGACCCCAATCCACCAAAAGAGAGTCTAATTTGTTTTGGGCTTTTCTTTGGCTTGTTTCACCCCTTCAGAAAGCCAAGAAGAAGCCTATTGCAAAGAAGACACCAAGTGACCTAGGAGTTGATGTGAGCCCGAGGGTAGAGACGGTCAGAGTGGAGGATCCACCGGTCAGAGACGCTGGACAGAAGGTTGAGAATGTGGAGGAACTGGTCAGCAAACTCAAAGAAGCAGGATTCTGCTAACACTGGTAAGTCTTTGTTAAAGGTTGCATTAGGCCTGTCCTCATCAGCTCGAGTTTGCCAAATAACCCGCTATTTTAACTATCCCGATCGCAAATTAGCCAGTTAATTTGAGTCTCCATCAGCCCCCAGTTGCAATTAGCGGGATATTGGGTTGAGAAAATATCCAGAGAAATCTTAATCTTGTTTCCAAAATATCCCGCTATTCGGAAAATAGCGGACTAATTTGCGCCCGTCCAAGCTTATTTGTGATGAGCGTATAGGTCTGGTGAGGACGCAATTTCGAGCTTCAGGATAATATCCTGAGTCTGAAAAAAGCGGGTTATTTGGCAAACTCGAGCTGATGAAAACAGGCCTACTGAGTCTATTGGAGCAGTTGGAGCACTCAACACTTTGTTGGATTATAATGATTATAATAATTCATAACATTAACCTCATTTGTGTAGCGCTTAGACTACGTTTCTAAGTGCTTTACATTGTAATTATTACCCGGTCATTGGATTCACTTGGGCTGATGAACATTGTCAAATTTCTCAGAAGCAGCTTTCAGAACCTACTCCCAAGTTCACCTTCCTTGTAAACTGAAGTGACTGACATGTTTTAGTGATTTATTTTGTACAAATGCAGTGGTTGAATTTGTTTAAAGGTAATACAAACTTTTGGGATGGGGTCTTGAATTTGGTTCAAATGAACATATTGGAAGCATATTCAGGGATCGTTGTTGTGGTTGAAATCGAGTCTAAAGTTATGAAATTGTAAATAATAAACTCTTTATGTTATATAGCTCCCTCTCAAGGTCAAGATATTAATTAAGCTATAAAACAATGTTTCTTGACTAAAATCGACCAATAAGCTATTCCCGTTTGGAAATTATATATCACAACCACATGTTCTGAGATTTTCACGGTCACAGCTACCATTTTACGGCTGTAGGCGCTATTTGAAATTTATCAAAATTAACGGGGAGCACCGGTAAATTTTTATATTCAATTTTTATCGAAAGCAGAAGTGTTTTAGGGGCTAATTTTTCTTGTGCTTATAATACATCTACAGGGGCATCTAAATATATCAAAATTGTAAAGAATCACTTTCCACCCAATTTCAAATTTCCCAAACTTTGTATTACCTTTAAGCATTCATAATTTTCTCCTTCTTGGTCTACCTACTTATAAACTTTCCTTTGCATGTTTCTTGGAGAAGTGTCATAGTCGAGTAGTTTAAGCACTTGACTTGTAATTCGAAGGTCGTGGTTCGATCCCCGACCCGGCACTAATGTCCTTTGGCAAGGCAATCATTTTCATTTGCCACGCTCGACCCTGGTGAGGTGAATGGGTACCTGGCAGGAATTAATTCCCTGAATTGCTGGAGCGCTGTAATGGCAGCTAGGCTAAAGCCAGGGTAATAATAAATGCGCCTCGGAATAGAATTTCTAGATAGACAGCGTTATAGAAATGCCTATTATTATTATTATTATTCTCTAATTTTCCTACTTTCCCAGAACTCAACTTGTTACAAAAGTTATCTCATCTTCTTTTTCTTTTTCCTTTTTTTTCCCCTTCCTTCCAGGCTTGATATATCATCAGACACTGAAGAACCACACATCTTCCTGCTCTGCTGAAACCCAAGTTGAAGTATACAAGAGAGACATGATAGCAATATGAGGAGTTTGGCCAGCCCCACCAGTTGAATAATTTGCTTGTTGATTCCCCAATAAACCAAGACCCCAGATATATATATAGCAGTATTTGAGATATAATGAAATGTGTGTGACGGTTGCATCTATGAAGGGGATTTGCTTTGTCAGGATATTCCTGTTATGTATCTTTCACTATATACCTATGATCTCTCTGTCTCTCTCTCTCTGTCTCTCTCTCTCTTACTCTCTCTTATTTTGATCATTTTTGTTTACATATTCTGTTTTGAACCTTTGGGCTTCAATCCTCAGCTACTGCTCACCCTTCATGCACCTGTGGAGAAAATTTGTAGAGGTGTCCCTTTTAAGAATGTCTACTACCGGTGTTCAAAATGGCTGACTTATTTTGAAAATGATGAACCAATTCATCATAAAAAAAATGAGCCAAACATTGTTTCATACCTAAGTGAAGTGTAGCTTTTTATTCACATCATAAAAGGAAGATGTAATATATAATGAAGTGGTGTCAAATCGTCAATTGATGGCTAGAAATAAAAAAATAAAAAAAACATTAATGATGATTTGAAGTAATATGTTGAGCTATCCCTTGGTGTTTGCTTCTCCATGATATTGAATTCTAGCAGCATGAATATTGAGACAGATTACTGTATTTAATTGGAAAATGATAGATTTCCTAAACATATAGAATATGATTATACACATGCATGTAATCGTTTCAATATTCATGGCTCCTCTTGTTCCAAATTTGTTGGCAAATGTTCTGTTATGTTCATGAAAATTGTTGAATAAATGTATTGAAATGAAAAACAAGGATTGTTACATTAGTTTTCTTGCATACATAGTGTAAGTTGTAATTAATATGTGAGTATGTGAGTGCAGTATTTTGTTAAATTGCTGTGATTGTATGTGCCTGTATGACACCTCTAGACAAACTGGCCTCGTTAATATGAAACAAAATGAATCTTGAGTTCATCTCCATTAAGATGATATGCAATTGGATACGATTCATGAATTAGTGAAAGAAAAAATGCAAAAATGGGGCATCTGCATGGCCATTCAAATATTGATGAGCTTTGGAGCTATCCTTTGTGGCTCATCCACAATCTTAGGTTGAAGGGTCGCAATATATAGTGTAATGTAACTACATACACTCATATGCACATGTTTGATGAGAATGTATAGAATTGACTGGAGACATATATCGAGAGTTTCAAGAAATAGAGGGAGTTGAGAATTGAACGAATAAATGGCAGCTATATGACAGGATCGACGTCCCTGGAAAATGAACTTGAGAAAAGGGAGGAAAATGAGAGAAAAAGTGTATTATTTTGTTTTAAAGAGAGATAAAATGTATGATGGACACAGTGACAGAGAGAAATTAACACAGGAAACAAAACAAGTGGAGCAAATTCAAGCATTCAGGAGGAAGCTATATAATATAGAGGGAGAGAGAGAGAGAGAGAGCTAAAGAAAAGAATAATATTCATCAAGGCGTGTATACATGTATAGTGGTTAATAATACTGTACCAATAATGCTCATAAAAATCTCCACAAATGATATCTTGTACCATTACATGGGGGGGGGGGGGGGGGGGGGGGGTATTAATCACATGAACACTCATTCATAAATGATGCACCTGTTAGACGGGCAATTATCTAATTGGAATGCGCATGCGCATTAGTGGAGAATTCGTTGCTAACTGAGTAGCTTGCCGTAACCCTGTCTGTGCTCGAGAAGTTCTAATTTATCCGCCAAACGAGTTTATCATCTAAACAAAATGCCTCCAAAGAAGAAGGGAAAGGGAAAGAAGGGCAAGAAGAAAGGGAAGAAGAAGAATGGTAAGTACGTTTTTGAATTACAATTATTTCCATGACAAATGCTTACGTGCTGGCGTGCTCTGCATGCAAGTCTGAAGACAATTAATATTTATGTAGCGAGAGAGTGCCCGAGAGAGCGAAGAGAATAATTGCGTCTTGCAGTGGGTTTGTGCCCCGCCGCTCCTCCGTGAGTCGCTGTCCTTGTTCCGCTTCCGTAGGCGTAGCGACGATAATAACATTTGATGTGATTTTTTAAATTGATGTCGAGGTTATACCTAGAAAATGTGTTAGTGAATTGTGAATTGTGTTTGGTTGCATGTTGAAACAAATAGGAAAGTTGTCTTGGGCTACATCACAGTGACAATACATTTTCAACCGATTTGAAGTGCCACACATGATTCTAGACCTATATCATGCAACTTCAAAGTTAGACCGAAAGCTTCAGTCTCCATTACCTTTACCTTTACCCGAGATTCTGGGAGAATGCTGTGTTCTCAGCAGTCGGGCTTCCAGTTCAATTTCATTTTCTTCCTTCTCGTAGTTGGGTGTCTTCTTAGTAGTTTGTCTGGCTCAGTTCTGCGTCGGGTATTCTACTCATGCATATGGGGAGCAGAAACGCTTGTCCTTCCATACTCGATCCAGTCTGGCTTTAAATTCACCGTGGTAGCAGTGACTACCTCTTCAGGAAGTGTGTTCCAGTCATTGATGACACGTTGGTTGAATGCATCCTGTCTAATCTTCGTTGAGCATCTTTGTTTTACGATCTTTAGACTGTGGCCTCTTGTGTTGCTAGTCGAGTGTTCAAAGAAGGTATCAACGTCTGGCTCCACTAGACCTCCGAAGGTGTAATTTTCCTGTAATTTTCTCTGATTTCCCTCAAACTTTCACCAGTCTGGTTCTGTGATATTTCTTCTTTCTTTCAGAGTAGTTGTCCAACACAGTTAGATTTTCCTTTAATTTGACATAGGTCTAGATCTAGTCTACAGTATAGTTCTCTGAAGTTGATGGAGGCCGGGTTAAGGGCTTGCCAATTAAAGGACGAAACAGCTGGGCTGTGGTTCGAACCCACACATACACATAGGTGCATTACTATCCTGGCTGTGATTTAAAAGCTGTGCTTTTGACTCTCAACATTTCAAACACCACTAGATCTATCTTCACTCAAAATAGGTACTTTAGTGACAATTGATGACACCTAAATAGCAGTATAACATACAATTTTTCAACTTTCCGATGTTAGAACGAATAATTTAATAATTCAAATTGTGAGTCTACTGTCAACTTTGCCGAGCAGCCGCATTGGCATGATTGTGTGCATTTGCGTGTTGTGAGTGTATTGACTACACATGTATTCAAATGCTGCCTATTAACACGTAGTGCAGTGCTATAGAGGTGCAATACACATTAGCATTGACTCTCTATGCTTTGCTGGAGTGTTTGAACCCTCAACCCTTGGCTTGAGAGTCAAGTGAATGAACCACTATACCATGATACCTCCGCTTCCACATGTCCTCACACTCTTTCAATCTTGTTTATCTCTGTTGCAGATGGTGAGCTGACCGTTGAGGATAAATACAAGAAGACATTGCTGGAGATAGATGCTTTGAAAGACCATTTAGGTAAGCACATGACAATATATATAATAATAATAAAGTATTTATATCTAGCGCATTTTCCATATACGCCCTGTACATGTTCAAATGTGCTTTATGATTATGTTGTTAACTAAAGAGGTGAGTTTTTAAATATTTTTAAAATATTTTTTGAAGGTATAGAAAGATATATATAACAGGGACAGTATTGAAACGTCCTTGTAAAAAAAAAATACTCTTCAATACCAGTTTATTGTTATGATAATCTTTTCTTGATAAATGTGTATTAAATTCTTTATTCTTTGGGGGACAGCAACAACTGTGGATTTTTGTGCTTTTACTAGTCGAAATGGTTTTAAAGGTAAAGACCAGTATTGGAAACGCCCCAATTTCAAAAAATTAAATGGAAGCTCTCATTACCAATCATGTGAAAGAATATGTTTTGACTAATACATGGTGATAAAAAATTTGCCGGGAAACCGCCTACTAATTCATATATTTGGTAAATTTGTTTCTCTCATGGTCTGTGAGAGATATAGGGTAGTCCCATATACATCTTTCTGTGTATAGTGCTTGTAACTTTACGAAGAATGGGCCAAATTTCTTATCATTTTCATGATTCCAGAACCTTGCAGATGCTAGATGCTAGATGATCAACCTTTTCTGATCGATTCCACAACGTTTCTTTCACAATGCAATCGCATGACCATAACTGGTCTTAACCTTTAAAATACATGTGAAGTAGAGGACTGATACACAGATAATTCACTCACAAAAGTGTTGTATATTCATCTTTCTGTGTGACTGTGTAGATAACAGGAGGGATATTTCGCGCCGCTCCCAGGCCCAATCTGAAGAATGGAAGACACGCATGAAGGCTGCAGAGGGAGATGTGGAGCAGCAAAAATCAGACCAAAAAGATGTAATGGCTGGTAAGTGGTATCCAGGGGGGTGTTTCACAAAACTTGTCATCAGTGACAAATGACAGTTGTTGTTACAAGCTACAGAAATCCTTGGTTATGATTGGTTATCAGCAGATTTGTAAATGATATTTGTCATTTGTCATTGAAAAAAGGCTTCGTGAAATGGGTCCCAGAAGTTGGCAAGGTTGATATGAAATCCAAAAACATTTACACCATAAGACCAGGGAGGTCCACAATGGATTCTAAATGAGAAAGTCCATCCTGGACTCTGTTTCATAAAACTTGTCATCAATAACAGATAGGATAATTGTTATAAGCTACTGAAATCGTGGCATTGGATTGGCTGTTGACCATTTTGATAATAATAATAATAATAGATCGCATTTATAACGCGCCTAATACATTGTTTCTAGGGGCAGTGGTGCTGTTGTCCCAGCGGCCATTAAGTGAAGCAATGTCCTTACACGAAAAGGGGAACTAATAAGTATGATCTGTAAAGCTAACATTAAAGAGAGTAACACAAACACATTTAATTTATGGAATAAGTTTTTGCAGACTTACATGCTTTTTAGCATGTTTGTGAAAGCAGGAAAGAAAAGATAAACCTGTAGAATTTATTGTGGAATTTCTAAAACATTCTTTATATTTGAGAGAAAATGTATAATGTACAGTTAACAGCTAGAATATTCATAATACTCCTTGTAAATTTCAAGTTGTTTGTGTTTCTTGTAAGTCAAGAATGAAAGATGGACTGGTTGAATTAGGGCCTTTGATGAATAATTTTAGATGTAAATATAATCATGTCACTTTCCCAAGAAATGTAGATTAGCACAAATCATTTATCCACATACTTAAAAAGATAGAAAAGTTGGTAATGGTATCTGTAAATGTTTGGTAATGTTACTGACTACTTTAATATTTATGACCCTTTTATCTTCAGATATGACTCGTCAGTATAAGACAAAGCAAACTGAAATGGACGCTCATGTGAGAAGGCTAGAGGTTGAGCTGCAAAAGGTCACAAGTGCATTGAGTAAGTGGTTTTGACATTGAAAAATTGGTAGTACGTATGAAGGACCGTAGTTGATACCAATGGGAAGTACTTATTTCAGGCAAACAGTTATAAATTACAAGAATATTTTTCGACGGCTTGTTTTGTTTTAGTCAGTTTTAAAAGGTGATGATAACATATTAGGCTAAAAATGCATGTACTGTACAGTGTACATGAATGTTCTCTGAGAAGAAACAACTTGTTCTCTCTCTCTCTGTATCTGTGTCTTGTTCTCTCACTCTCACTCTCTCTTTCTTTTTTTTTCTCTTTCTCTGGGTATCTTTCTCTCTATATATCTTTCTCTCTCCCTTTAAATATCTCTCTGTATCTGTCTCTCTCTCTCTCTCTCTCTCTCTTTCTCTTTTTCTGTCGCTCTTCCATTGTATCTGTCCGTCTCTCTCTGTATCTATGATAATTGCATTAGGTTTTGGTTGTACACAAAATTGCCAGATTTTTCAAAGAATTTCATTACTGTATTCTGTTAACTTTGTCCTACAGCAAAAACTAGTGAAAACCTAAAGGCAACCACAGCAGAGAAAGAGAAGATAACAAAGGAGAAAAACGAGACGATCGGAGAGTTGGAGGAGAAGATAAAGACGATGGAATATTCGTACGAGAATATGCTGGAGGTGAGTACCCATGGACAGCAATCACAATAATGAAGAAATGTTGATAACAATTTCCATGTAAAGTTTGTTCCTAATTACCCTTTGGGCATTATACACACGTACATGGATGTTTTGTTGTTAGTGGTGGTATTTTTTTGTAGCTTATCAAAGCCAGAGTAATATACATGTATGAGCAGAGATGCCAACCTCTTGACACAAAAAAACAGACCGAGTATCTTAAAAAAAAAAAAATCAGTTTTCGAGAGAAAAATCAGATTTTCACGAAAACTCGACACTTCCACTGGCCCGGTTTGCTCTTTCATTGAAATTTAATGAAAAATTTGTAAAGCAAAGTTTTTGTTGGGGTTGTGGGGTTTTACTTGTACATGTTTTAAGCGATTCCGCTGTTTTTATGGGTTAATAAAAAAATTTAATCGTACTGGTTGGCATCTCTGTATGAGCGCCTTCAGCACCTTGCATGGTGGATATGGATGCTATTATAAAAGTATTCAATATTATGATTAATTATCATATTTTTTCTTTGTAATTAATATTTGAGGAAAATTGATCTTTTCTTCTTTTTTTTTTGGATAGAGGCAAAAATAATTTATTTTAAATTTATTACTCATTTATTCACTTTTGGTATTTGGCACTGCCAATGTGTGTCTTTGATTTTTGTCCTTCATATTTCAACAAGAATTTTCCCTTGCATCTATTAAAGTGTCTTCCTTTTTTGTATATGAAGTGCATAACACCCTTGATCCAATCCCTATCATGGGGGGGGGGGGGGAGGGGGGCTGAAATAATGTGTTTCAGGGCAATTTCTCCTTGACAAGACTACCAAAAAAGGTGATAAGTAATGTCAGTGCATACTTTCAGCCATGAATAATAATAATAATAATAACTGGAAATATTGCAATCTATATTGCCGCGCAATGTGAATGTATCCCCGGCAGTGGCAGCAACATTGAATTTGTGTCATCCTTATGTTTTAAGGAGGGGCAAAGATCCCCTCTTCCCCTCCCTGAAACAAAAGGATGACGTAGAGATCGCCACCAGTGACTCAGACTATTGTTAAGACTAGGAGCAGCATCGCCAAAAACAATATGTGTGTAGATATCTCTATAGAAAAATCTGTCAAGAAATGTGATAGTTACAGCGCACAACAGACAGCCACCAAAATATGACCTTTGCAGAGCTGCCAAGTAGTATGTTTTTTACGGCTTTGACCCTATAAAAGACGGAACACTGGAGGCAGCATCACCAAAATGTATAGGCTTGTAGACTAAACCAAGATACACCGTCGTTCAAAATTTGAACAAGACCCACTAGCTGAGAAATGTGGCCTATATAGAGCGCACACAAACCATCCACAAAAATATGGCCTTTTACCCTATAGAAGTCAGAACACTAGAGGCAGCATCAACAAAAATTATAGGTGTGTATCATTATTCCAAGGTACACCCCTATACAAAATTTGAAAGAAATCCGTCAGGGAATGTGGCAATTAGAGCGCACACAAGAATATGACGTGGCGGCGTAACGCTGCTGAATCCAAAATTACCTACAGTCCGACACCTCTGCAACTGAAATTGCCTTCCTAGTAATGTTATAGGACCATATTTCACTTGATTCATATCTCATTGTTTATCTATTTTGTTTTCTTTTTCTTTGTTTGTTTTTTTGCATACAGGAAGCAATGGATAACATGGTTGACAAGTTAAACAATGCCAAGATACAATGGCTAGATGAATCCAGGACCATTCACATGCAACACAAACAAAAGTTATTAGAATTCGGTTTAAATCCTCTAGATATTTAGATGTTTAAAGTGTACCAATCATCAACATTTTTTTCTCTCTGTATGGTACAGGTTCCACTTTGCTCTTCAAAAAAAGAGAAACGAGCTGCAAATACTATTTGTATATAAAGAGATATTACAAGCTATGGTAAAAAAGCACTCTCGACTAACATAAAAAGAGACGTTGGATTACACTAATTGATGCACCCGTACGTGCTCGCGTATTAAAAGGCTGGCACGGAACCCAAAGCAGACTTGGGTTCTAGCTGTGGGCAGCGTTCTTATGTTATTCTTTATTTTCCTAACATTCCTTTACCTGTAACCCAAAGAATGCCATTGTATTAGATTTATTTAATACAGTTCACAAATAAATTATTCATGTTTACCCTTGTTGTTTAAGTATGTATACACTTAAATGAAAGATATCTAAAAGTATTGAACAAGAGCCCTAATTTATAAACCAGTCCACATTTTATTCTTCAGTTACAAAAAACGCCAAAAGAAATCCAATTTACCTGGGTAGAAAGTTTTTGATTGTGGGAACGGATTGCAGACGGGATGTACAGTAGTCCTTTGTGGAAAAAATATGTTTTTATGTGCCATTATATTGATTAGCTGAATTATATAATATTGGCTGCCCTTTATAGTGGTATATCAGATACATTGCATTCTTCTCAAAAATTTTTTATTTCATGCTAGCCGAATGCAATATGTCTGATATAACACGAAAGAAAGCCGATATTATTATTATACATTTACATTCAATGAAATATTTCGACAGTGAAATTTACATGAGTGCAAGCCGTTTAAGCCAGCAGTCAGCACTGCTTATGAATAAATGCTCCTGTGCATGCACAGAGTTAAATATCCTGAGAAAATCCCTCTTAGCATGCATCCTAATTCTATATCAATTTACAGAGAAAACAAAATATTGAACTCAATCAAAAAAGGGAATCAAATACCAGATTTTATTCTTTGGAAAAGAGGCTCGTATGTATATTTATTGTCATTAGTATGCGAGCAAGCACTGTTATGTATAGTAATTGTCATTATTATGCAAACAATCTCTGCTGTGTATATAAATTGTCAGTTCTATGAGAATAATCAGTTTCAAAATATGGAGTTTATTTTTATGAAAGATATATTTTCAAATTACTAATAAAATAAAGATATGCAAAATTGTATGCAGCATTACATCGCGAACAACTAAATGTTTGTATTAGGTTTCTTCAATCATGTCATTTTTAGCAGTCCTTGTTTTCTCAGGATTAGGTTTACTATGAAAGGTGAAGCAAAAGTTGGATTTAGTGGGACAGATGGACAATGGTTTCTGCTCTTTTTCTCAAGTTGTAAGCAAACTGTTTAACATGCAACCTTAGGGTCACGAATCACGATTCGTTTACATTGTAATATCTTACGAGTGTGTTATATTGTTTACAACCGACTACCAACATGCCAGTTTGACAAATCAAGTAACGTATAGTTATTTAATTGATGTTTTTGATGTGTACAGTAGGTATTTTTTCGGCCATTTGTTATATATTATAGATGAAAATATTCAAACTGATTTGTATTTATGTAGATTGTAAATATTTATATTAAAATCTAAACATGAAATATCTTCATCTTTTCTGGTGTTCATTCTGTCTCAAGTTATTTCCAATGAAAATTTTCACAATCTAATGTAGTCGTACAAAGTGCTTAAGAGTTTATCAGAAAATGTGATATGAATATATTTGACAATGCTGATAGGGACAACACAGTAATTTCAATGGGAAGGATTTTAGCACACAAACTTGAGTGGTGCGTGATCAGACATCCTATTAAAACTAGGTCTCGATAGCGTAAACAAACTTGATTACCAATGATTGGTAGGTCGCACATGTATTCTAGGACCCTTTTCGGTATATTCAAGTTATAATGACTGCTTTAATATTCGAGGCATAGTTGTTTTTATAGGCTCTCGGCTTGAGTGTATACAAACAACTATGTCTCTCATAGCAGTCATTATTACTATACTATGTTGTACTTTATATTTACTTCTTAATATACTCTCTATCACATTCTTCTTTTCTCTTTAGCTCCCTCTTCTTTCCATTCTCAACTTCTCCCACATTTTCTTGCCCTTTCCAACTGTCTGTATCTCTATGTCTCTCTCTCTCTCTCTGCCAAAACTTTTGTCTGGCTCTAACGACATCCCTTCTCGTTAATTCTTGCATCCTGTTCTCTTCCACAGACCTTCTACGAATACATAAATACCTTAAAAAAATACTTTTTTTTTTCTTTAGAAATAGTATTTACTATAAAACAACTTGAAGTGATACTATACAAATGTTGACAACCATTGGCATTAAAAGAGAAATTATGATTTATCAACATTTTACAGATAAAATCCATTCAAACAATCAGAACCTTCTTTGGAGCTGGAGGGCTTGTATTTGATTGGAGGAGAAACATTCAACAGTTTTGTGCTAGGGGATGTTCTGGCTTATTGCTGCACAATATCTTGGATTCAAAATATATTCTAAGAGCCCGCAAAAAATTTATGGAGAGCAAAAAGTTTGGCATCAATGGATGTCAATGGAAATTACATCATTATTGGATTGTGAGATAATGAAAGACCAAGAAAGCAATAATATCCTTATTGTTATGAACAGAATGTTATTACAGGATTCCAAATTATTCATGAAACTTTTGAATCTTTTAAAACAATATGCAATGGTCAGATGTCCCATGCTACCAAAGGGAGTATAGCAAGGACCTCCTTAGCAAACTCAAGCAAGCAACCTACCAGTCACTTCAAGGAAAACCCTCAAGCACACCCCAGTCCTTGCCTTCCACAAGTACATCCCCCATTTCACAATAGAGGTAACAGGAGTTCATAGTCTGAAATATGATGTGAAGTTCATATGTTATCAATTGTATGCAAATAAAATGTGCCATATCAAAGCCTTCCATTTTGAGAAATCATTGAAAAAATGTGTTCTAAAAGGGTTTCAAAGAGGCTTAAAACCAAGAGCTTTTGGGGGCCTGCCCCCTGCCCCCCCCCCCCCCCCCCCCCCCCCCCCCCACCAGGGGCACTAAAAGGCCATTCTTGGTTCCCGCCAACAATGAAGTCGTTCGATGCTGCTCTCTCAGAAATCTCCCTGATTACCCAAATCAAATGTTGGCAGCTCTGGTCATGGATTGCTGTTCTTTTACAGTAATTTATAAACAAAAAACTGTCATTTTTATATTGTAGGCCTATAACAAGGACCTGTTGTGATAGGACTTGTAAAGAAAAATGACTTTTATGCAGGGGAAATCTCAAAACTTGCAAAAATCCAGTATCACGTCAGTTGTGATTCAATTATCTTGGTGCTTGAAGCTTTTGCAAACGTGAACCACAAGCAAAAATTCATAAACACTTGATGAGCGTCAAAGATTCAGTTTGTACATGAATTTAATTAGCATCTCAAATAAATTCAGTGACTAAATTTTGTTTTCTTCTTCAAACAAAACAATAATAGTATTAATAATAATATTTAGCTCTTATATAACGCTTAATACAAGGTCTCGAAGCGCTTTACAGATATACTATTACCCCGGTCATTGGATTCAGTGCTTGCCCGCACACAATGTGTGCACAATCTCCACTCCCTGGGGAGCATTCCAGCCAGGCATTACTTGACGCTCAAAAAACTGTTTGACCAACAGTGACGGTCGCATCCTACTGGGTACCCATTTAACACCTGGGTGGAGAGTAGCAAGTGCAGGTTAATATCTTGCCAAAGGATAATAGTGCCGTGTCTGGATTCAAACCCTCGACCTTCGCATCTCCAGTCCAGCGCCTTAAACCACTCGGCCACGACACTCCCAATGACATAACTAGGCATGAAATATCTTTGCCAATCTTGGTGATGCTTATTCACATGTCTTCAATGCTCCATTTATAAGCAATTTCTGAAGTAGCCTTTTTGTCCGACATCCTCTGGAAGTATTTCTTCTCAAATCCGCTGGATCTATCGACCCCATCCCATCGGTATCCAGGTTGGATGTTGAATCGGGTTGGTGGAGGCTTCGGTCCTCGATATTTGGGTTTCACTGTACAACAACAAATGAAGAGATAATTAAATTATGCGATCAAATTTTTCTCAGCATAATCTAGTAATGTAAATATTATGATCACGCCATCTTACTAGGACCATCACTTGTATATCTTACTCCAACAGATGGTTCACAACGCCCCCCCCCCCCCCCCCCCCCCCCCCCCCCGCCCTGGCCCTAGAAGTGACCTTCCTTTGACCCTGAATGACCCCTGATGACCCTCAAAGCCCTGCCAAACATGGGTGACTAAAAGTTCTTGTAATGCGTACCTTTAATACCAGCTTTTGCATGGCGTTGATTACTTCTTCTTTAAGTGACCTCCATTGACCCTGAGAATGACCCAAACGACCCCTGATGAACCTCAAAGCCCTGCCAAACATGGGTCACTAAGAGTTCTTGCAATGCGTACCTTTAATACCAGCTTTTGCCATTGCGTTTGATTCCTTCTTCTTTAGGAACGCCAGCATGGGGTCTCCTGCCCGGTCCTGTTCCTTTAGCATCTGGTCCAGGTCCTGGTCGTCTTTGTACCGGGCTAAAGGCTTGGCCATCTCTCTCATTGTGTCCTCTATACTGCTCTTCTGATTCTTGACCTGGGCCACGCTGCAAAAGAGCACAACGCAAAATGCCACAATGCCATTGATTTCATTAATTTGCTTTCTCTTATTCTTCTTCTGCTTCTTCTTCTTCCACTTCTTTTTCGTCTTCCTCTTCTTCCTCTCTCTTCCCTTCTTCACCTTCTCCTTCTTATCACCATTTTATTATTCTCTTTACTCTTTATTTCTATTTTTCGTTTCTCCCCACATTCTATATTGTTCTACCTAGCCTGTTATATATACATATTTCTAAATTTCGTACTTATTTTCGTACATTATATTTGATTTGAAATCTTTATTTTTTTCTTTTTTTCCTTCTTATGTGAAATCTATTCTTATAATAATATACGCTTGTATAAAAAAGAAAGAATATAAACTGTTTTTCTATGTAAAATGTGGAATAAATAAACTTCAAACTTCATAAAGACATTGTATTTGTATCAACAAAAATTATATTTGCTACACAAAAATATATTATACAGTCAAACCTGTATATAGCCACCATCCTACTATACAGTCAAACCTGTATATAGCCACCGCCCTAGGAAACACAAAAAGTGGTCTTTGTAGACAGGTTCCTTTAGTACATGTTTCAATGAGAAACCATTTCCAAGGGAAACTAAACATTTGGTCGTTATAGACAGGTGGTTTGACCGCACAAACATTGAATGCTCTGGACTTCAATGGATTAAAATGTATGAAACGACAATTTCAGAATTTCCCTGAGGGGTGTTATATCTAACAAAGGTTGAAATATCATCTTGTGAGGGAAATTATGAATCTAAAAGAGGACATATGTTATATTGAACAATGATATGCATGCAATATTTGATAAATAAAATTCAAGGGCATGTGAGATATCCTGCCACGTTTTTGTGTTGAGTTGACAGCCTTCTCGGTGAGTTTCATGTAGCCTTACATTTTGTGACTGCATGGCTTAGACAATGCAATGATAGGTATGCACAGAGAAGAGTGATGCGCATTCTATTTTACTTTGGTTGTGACATATTGTGCAAGAAAAGGGTTGTGCACAAGCAACAAAACGTTGAATTTCACTTGATAGCTTCGCAGCCAATAGGATGCAATCTAATACATTCCATACTTTATGTTATCATTTGTTTATCATAATTCAATAATTGCAACATGCACTCGTGTCACTACCGGTATACGTACACATACATGTAGATGTGTAATCGTCTGCCACTATTAAAAAAAAAGGGAATAATTGTTGCGACTTGGTTAAACACAACTTACCCTTTACCCCACTCCAAGAATTTCTCATCTTCTTCAGCTTTTTTAGCCTCTTCTTCTTTCTTGAGACGTTTCTCCTCCTTCAGGTCTCTCCTCCTACCAGTCTTATCCCTGAATATCGTATCTGTATGAAGGCAAAGAAAGAATGATGTATGAAAATCTGATCACCACTCTCTCTCTAACCCATGAGCACTGTGAGGATCCGGTCTTATCCCTGAATATAGTCTCTGTATGAAGGCAAAGATAGAATGATGTATGAAACTCTGATCACCACTCTCTCGATTCCATATTAAAAAGCACTGTTTCTGTATGAAGGCAAAGATAGAATGACATGAAAACCTGATCACCACTCTCTCTAACCCATGAGCACTGTGAGGACCTGGGCCCGTATTCAATTTAATACTCAAGTACAAAATTTAAGCTTTTTACTTAGTATTTGACTTGGATAAAATACTTAGCAATTTATGGTATTCAATTCACAATTTTGGCTAAGTATTTTACTCTAAATCTAAGCCAACTGCATACCAGACTTAAGCCAATTATTTGGTGGCCTTGATTGGCAGGCATATGGTTTTCTTACGCAGTATTATATCCTGCGCACAATTATATCAGCGCGCATTTATTGCAATGCATCAGTTGCGCATTCCTTTTGATTGACCGTGTGACGTCACAATGCTTATCAGTAAGTATTTTACTTAGATTTTGTCTTACGTAAGTATAAGTCTAAAATGCGATTTGAATACGAGATACCTGTAAGTCAATTACTTAACTTAGCCATTTACTTAGTAAATTTCTTACTTATGCTAAGTATTGAATTGAATACCGGCCCTGGTCTTATCCCTGAATACATGTAGTCTCTGTATAAAGGCGTTGCAGAGTGCCAAATTTTTTTTAGAGAGATTTTCTTCAAGCGCTGTCGTTTGCCAATGCTGGTATATTACTTTTAATTAGTAAATATGGTTACTGCTTGTGTTTTTTTCCAAATTTATATCTATGGAGCAAGATTTAGAATGGCAAAAACAAATTATTAGCATATCATGGTATAGTAGAATACGTGTTTTAGAATCATCAAAAGTGAATGTGTCTGCAAAATCGCAGAGGTATCAGAGGCGCAATGCATTATGAGAATGTATATTGCTACACTGTACATGTGGTAGCGAGAATTGGTTAACAAAATTGTGTCATTATACAAAAAAGGGCAAAGATCTCAGGTCTTTCACTAGTGTTTCTCTTAGTTTATTTTGGTATTGCATTGATGGAAATGTATTATTTTTGTCATCTTTTTTAACATATTGTACTTGTCATACCTTTTTGTTTGGCTCACTATTGTTTATTTACTGTATTCATAACTGTATTGTATAATTTGTAAACATGATCAGTTTTGGTCTTTGGACCTTTGAATCATGTATATGTCTTTTTAAACCGAAATAAATGAAAATAAATAAATACATATAAAAGTGTTAGCAAATTTTACACTGACCTGCATTTTTGCCACTGACGTCATCATCAAGTCTGGAGTAAGCCTCGTTGGTTCTACGCCTGGTCGCTTCATTTTCTCTCCGTAAGGCTGCTGCATCTGATAGACCAGCCTTAGCTCCTACCAATGATGACAAATGAAATAGCACATAGACAGTGAGGTTGTGAGCAATGAAATATGAAAAATATCATCTATTGACAAATTGAAAACTTGATACTTTTAAAATTGCAAATAAAACACGATTCAAGACGGAAATACGAATGTATGTAGCACTTTTCTTCACAAATAGTTACGTTTAGAGCAGTTTTTTAATGTAAATTTCATGCTGATCGGAAGCATTGTTTTTCATCATGAGTGGGCAGAAGTCCTCTGTGCTGGTTGGGCCAGGCCGGCCAGCCCGCCTAGTGCCGACCACCGTAGCTATAACGCTGCTTGCTATTATATTACCGAACCCCGAACCAAACTAAGTTTGGGTGAAAAATTGCAGAATTCTGCCAAACCAAACCGAAAACGAACATGGCGTCTGACTTACAGCACTACATATAAGTATTGGTGTGTACTGCAAGGTTCTGGAATCATCAAAATGATAAGAAATTTGGCCCTGTCTTGGTAAAGTTACAAGCACTGTACACAGGAAGATGTATACATCTATAGGACTACACGACACATGCGCGATATCTTTTCCAAATATATCAATTAGTAAGCAGTTTCTCTGGTAAATTTGTATCATCATGTATTAGTCAAAACATATTCTTTCACATGATTGGTAATAAGAGCTTCCATTTCATTTTTTGAGAGGGGGGCATTTCCAAAACTGGTCTATACCTTTAAGGTAACTAGTAAAGTTGTAAACCAGACAATTCTGTTCACATCAAATGTTCATGAATTATTCAAGTGAGTAGTTCAGATTCACAGTTTCATGCCGCAAAATAAAATATTTGCAATTTGTCTTCATTTAGAAATAGCATATAAGTTTCACGTCACCAAAGTTTTGTGTGGTACAGTTGTATATTGAATAACACAAATTCTGCGAGAATTACAATATTCAGACATTCGTGATGGCAAAAAATGGCTATACCTGACAGCGTTTTCTTTGGTTTCCCCTTCATCCCATCTTCAGCTTTGCTTGGTCTCCCTCTATCGGATGAAAGGTCTGAATCTGAGTCCATCCTCCTCCTGCTCCCTCCTCCCCCTCTCCTGGGTGGAGAGAGGTCGACATCCGAGCCACGCCCTTTCCTTCTGGCTGGAGACAAGTCTCGATTGGACCTACCAGATTTGGACGGACCTTGGTCTCTCCTCTTGGAATTCGATATCCTTGGAGGTGATAGATCAGAATCAGAGTCGTGTCTCGTTCTACTGTTGGAGTTCCTGCTACCACCACTAGGACTAGGTCTTCTTAGCCTCGGCGGGGAAATGTCAGAGTCCGAGTCATGTCTTGCTCCCTGTTTTCGTTTCGTCCTCACAGGCGAAATATCAGAGTCAGAATCATGACGGTTCCTCCTTGATCCTTTGACCTTAGCTCTTGGGGGGGATAAACCTGGATCCGAATCGTGGCGACCCTTCGGGATCTGCTTGGCCTCGCCGTTCCTTCTCCTGGGTGGAGACACGTCAGAGTCTGAATCATGTCTGGTCCTGGACATCTGTCCTGGTCCTGGTCTGCCTCTTGGAGGGGAGAGGTCAGAACCAGAGTCATGACGAGGTCTCCTGCGGGGCGGTGAAGCATCTGATGAGGAATCGTGGCGTGGCCTTTGACCTCCTATTGATGAACTCTGTGGCAGTTCTTCCTCTTCCTCTTCATCTGAAACCAAACAGTAAAAGTAAAGTTCAGAGCTGCTGTTCAACTCATACGAAATGACACACTATAGAAAAATTGTCTTATAATTGTCTTGGACCCCTTTGAAAAACAGCTTATAGCTGACAAGGGCAATCCATCCTATGAGTGGAGAATAAATAAATAAAAATAAAAAATAAAATGATGAACTAAATAGTATGTGAAAATATTGGCAGACGATTGGCCTGCACATTACTCTATTGGAACTATAAATGCAGAGAATTTTGTTTCTGTTTTGAGTCATTTCTATAACTGGATATACATGTACATGTATTAAAGTATAATTATACAATATTTTGAGAGTTTGTGGTATGCAGTATGCTACCCATGTGAAGTACATGTAAGCAGGTCATGCACATATCTTCCTCCCAAAACAAAGTTAGGAAAAGACTTTCTTCTTCTTCTTCTTCTTCTTCCAGGAAAAGTACAGTCCACGGTCTGGTGTGTCACTTTTCAACTTAGGCCCTTTTTCAAATGATTAATATGATTAAGGTTCAGAACAAGTTCATTTTCATGAACATTTGCACCAAACAGAACAGATCTCTTGCCTGTGACTAGGTCTACTGACTACTGGTTGATCTACTGGGGAAAAGTTAAACAATCCGACAAATGTATGCACTTGTGTAGTTTCTTTCATAACAATGGGTTCTTGTATAGCGCTCATGTCTGTCAGACTTGACACTCCTGGCGATTCACAATTATTACCCTGGCTCCAATTACGGGGCTCTAGCATTTCAAGGAATTAATTCCTGCCAGGTACTCATTTACGTCACCTGGGTAGAGTGTGGCAAATGTAGATTAATATCTTGCCAAAGGAAATTAGTGCCATGGCGGGACTTGAATCGCAGACCTGGCTTGTGATCCACAGTCCAGTGATGTATCCACTAAACCATGTGTCATATTTAAAAAGGAGTATGTTATGGTAATGGCAGTATAACCTACCGTGTGTCATGACCTTCCATTTATCGCTCTTCCTGTACTGCTCTAGCTTCACTTCATCTTCTGGCCTCTCATCAATAAAATCTGCTACCAACGGAGCCTCATCCGCTTCTTCGAGTAAGGTTGACTTGTCATCTCCAGCATCGGATCGGGCGAGGGTCCGGAAGTCTACATCGTCATCTAATACCCGAACACTGAGGGAAAAAGATTATCCAATTAAACAACTCTATCAGCTGATCAAATCTTGTGTTTGTACATGTACATTGTACATCGCCACTCAGATTTTACACTCCAGACTCCAGTGACCATTGTACCAACATGATCTCTCATTACCTCCAGCCCAGGCTTAAAAAGCTGAGTTGAATTTACATCAGAATGGTTAACCAAGTTTTAACCTCGAACTAAATAACTAAATTACCGTAGACTCTTCTGGTCATGTTGGAAGTGGAAGTTTTGTGGAATATCACTCAATGAAAAATTGCTGAAACTGAGACATTTATAGCCTAGATCTAGACTAGACCTAGACCGAAAACTTCAGTCTCTCTAGTCGTCGGTTGTTCCACTGAGACTACGTCTGGCTCCACTAGACCTCCGATTATAGAGACTGAAGTATGGCCTATCGGGACTGTACGGGACTGTACGGAACAAATGGTTCAGTTCGACCGGACCGCGATGAATGAGATATGCAACAAGATTTTCACTCTTTATATCCTCATAACTGCTGCAATTATAATAAAAATTAAAAGTAACATATATATAGCTTATTTGACTTACGATAGCTTGCTCATTTAGATCCTAAATTAATGATTAAATCGAGAAAGTCTCGTCGTCAACATTATCCGTCTTGGTTTTAGTTGATGAATATTCATTTTTTCTTTTTGAACGTCCAATAGCTACTGTAGCTTAGCTACATACGAGTCAGCCCGGCTTGACCAACGAACTCCCACGAAACGAGTGCTCTGATTGGCTATTTGGCTATGTTTTGGTAGGTTGACCCGGAAATATTTTGGCCCTATGTTCGAGTACGTGCATGAACGTACCGTTTCACAGTTCTGAGATACAAATTGGATAATTCATATAAGTAAGTCCGTAAATTATACATTCAATATTAAGTTATCAAATTTGGATAACTGCAATTAGGACAAATGACATACCGACCTAATTTACATCTGATTTAGAAATCAGAAAATTAGATCTAATGTAAATAAAGAAAATCGGGGAGAAAATGTTTTGAACGAAAAGATGTACATTGTTGGCTCTAGCTACCCCCACGGTACGAGATCTCTGGGTTACCATCTGTATTGGGAAATGTCAACAAATGTCAGTTTTATTAAAGAAATGACCCAAATCAGATGGTTATTTCTGTCTAGACTAGACCTACATCTAGATAGATTAATAAAATATGAAAGAAATTGATCGCCTGATTGCTGAAAATCTGTACAATTCCAAAAACTAACAACTTAAGATACTATTTCGACAGAAACCGGCGGTAGAAGGTTTGCAGCTCTGCACTGATCAACAAAAATGAAGAAGAAGAAAAGAGAAATCATTCAGTCGTAAGTTAATTCAATCACAATGCAGTGATGTGGTTATCAGGTTATGCAGAATAAACAATGCCTAAACAGAACATTTCTGTCTCTTTCGTTCGTTAGCCTCTTATTTGTGGGCTAGAAATTTTCGGTTTAAACAATGCGGAGCCGAGCCGACAGCACAGACCCTACAGGTACCGACTTGTATTGCCGGACGGTCGGGCGAGTGACTCGAGGAAACATGCGCTCCTTCCGCCTGGTCGGTTGAAAGTCAAGATCTTAGTTCTTACCTTGCAGCTTTCACAGCTACACCCTGATGTCCTCCCGGTTTCTTCTTTCTCTTTTTCTTATTTTTCTCTTCAGCATCACCTCCGGAAAGATATCTCTTCAGGTATTCTTTTTGATCAATAACTGACATGATTTTTTTTCAATTTCTTATGAACACAAATTCAACGTCGCTGCGTTTTAATTCTCAGCTCATTCTCCGAAATCCCTCTACAACTCGTCCTTAGATTATTCAGGTGCTCCCTTCGTCCAAGTTGTTGTTGGTAATAGTTTAATGGCGTTCATTCAGCATTGTATACGCCATATTCAGTTTTATAATAATCAAAACTAAACATAACTTAATTTTGAGAATATACCTACAGTGGCGGAACCAGAGGGTGGGGGAGGGGAGGCGCGGGGGGGGGGGGTGCCGTCCCCTAACCCTTGCTAAAAAAAAAAGACGGTAACCACCGCAATTTTATCTCTTTTTTGGTTTTGCTCAAGGGGCCTCAAGGGGCCGGGGGGGGGGGGGGGGTGTTGAGTATATATGAAGAGCTTGCATGATTCCAAAAAGAGCTAACTTGATCTATATTTTATCAAATTGAGTTTTTTGTCTTAAAATAATGATTTCCTACATGAGGACAAAATGCACTATGTCACATTCTAAAATTTTACCAGGAAGTATGAAAAAAATTAGGTACAATATCATGTTTCATTCCAAAGGAGCTAAAATCAAATCGGTTTCATTCCAAAAGGAGCTGAATCCACTTTGGGTACTTCTGAGTAAATAGAGTGGTGAAGTGTGACGTTATCAAAAATCTAATTTTAGAATTTCTCAATTTTTTTCTTCATTTTCCGAAAGAGCATCAAATGATTAAAGTCCAAATGTCGAAACCAAAATGATGTTAAGTATTGGCTGAGATATGACCATCCGAATGGTTAGGAGCCAGAGCATATAACACTGAGTTCCTATATGAAATATATTTATTCAGATGGTCATATCTCAGCCAATACTTAACATATTCATTGTTTTTCGACATTTGGACATTATTTTTGATGCTCTTTCGGAAATGAAGAAAAAATTGAGAAATTCTAAAATTAGATTTTTATGACGTTACAGCTTCGGTACTCTATGACCTTTTTTTTATTTATCCTCTTTCCCTCAGTTAGCCATGTACCTTCATGTTGTTATATATGTTAAAGGTCTCGCCATATGATAAGGACAAAAAATCTATCAGTTATTCCTGATTTTTTTTAAATCATTTTTTTAAAGATTTAGTGGATTTAGCTCCTTTTGAAATGAAACATGGATTTAGCTCCTTTTGGAATTTAATGGATTTAGCTCATTTTGGAATGAAACTGCGATATGTTGTTTACTTTCTTTTTGAAAGTTTTTTGTAGGTGTGATATCACTATTATTATTTAAAAGGAAAGGTTAATTTGCTGCTAAATTTGAATAAAATGTCAGTGACTTTATTGAGAAAATATTTTTTTTTTTTAGGTACAATAACATGTTTCATTCCAAAAGGAGCTAAATCCACGAAAATAAAAAATCTAAACAATTTAGTAAAATTCAGAAAAGAAGGGTAGATTTTTCTTATCATATATAATTGGTCCAGGGCCTGACACCTTATCATATATAACAACATGAAGGTACATGGCTAAAGGGAAAATGGAGAAACTTTAAAAAAGGCAATTTACTCTGAGAAGTACCCAAAGTGGATCCTTTTGGAATGAAACTCTTCATATATTTATATATTAAATGTTGTTAGTGCTCACTCTACCCCTATCACTATTTGTCATTATTTACTTATATGGAATTCATGCTGTACCGATTCTGAAGATAAAAGAGCTTCTCGATAATTTGTGTTTTACTAATTATATTTGGGATAATATAAGCAGCAGAGAGTATATACCAATCAATTTCAAGATAATCATATAACATAGACGTTGTTTGATGTTATAATGAAGATCGGGTATATTAAGGTGAATTCTAACTCACTGTGGTGCAAAGTAGGACAGGAGCCTTTTTCTTTTGTCGATTCACAGAATCTGGCAACATTACAATCTTTAGCTCAGGTTTGGAACGAGCCGGGGGACGTGTTCCATATTACTTAATTATTGTCCCATGCAGTGTCCACTCTTTAAAGATGAGGATGCATTTTTAATTTTTTTTAGAAACCGTAATGTATTCAAACTCTCTATATCCTATACTTTTCATTTTAAGGGGACCAAAAAAAGATAGAGAGAAGCCTATATTATATTTTTCAATTTATACTGTTGATCATATTATACATTTATATTGAAAAAAGAGAGAAAAAATAGAAAGAAGGAAATTAAATTTAAAAAGAAAGGCGTTGGTGATAGTCAGTTCTTGACCGATTGCCATTACAACAAAAAACAACCACACGACGTGTCGTATTTTGTTAGGGAGCGAAGTTATTTGTTTGAGTTGATGCCAGGCGAGCTGAGTAGCACTCCAACTTCCATTCATTTACGTCTACTGCTGTGAGTTGACTGGGCCGAGGTTGAAAATAATATTTTTTTCAAAATGTCAAACTCTATTATTTTACACCTTGAATCGGTGTGGGAAAATGCTGAGCTTTGAGTTGATTTCACATTACACCCCTGTATTTTCTCAATGTTTGTGCAAATATAGCTGTGCCTTTGGATATGCATACATACCTTCTTATTAAAAACACCGGCTTCTACTTCTAGATCAACGTCTACGGGACAGCGTCGTTTTGATTCCCCGTACCAGCCCGGTGGCTAACTGGCTGCTGTCTTGATGAGTGGAATTTTGCTGCCGATAGTCGGGTCGGCTAGTTAGACTTAGAAGTTACAGACTGTCATTGTCTAGTGACTATGGAATCGGGTAAGTAAATTTAAATCAACTTCACTTTTCTAGCGGGAGAGCATAGGATGATTAGGTGGAGCCATTTGGGATGAGGGATTACATATGGCAAGTCCAAATATAATCATGCTTAGAAGTATTAGAATTAGAATTTAGATGATGATCTAATTCATATCAATCATATTCATAGTAATGAAAAAGAAAAAAAAATACAGACTTGAGGAGGCTGAGGACATAGGGCCTATAATATATCAGGATTGAACAGTTGAAAGGAAAGGAAAGGAAACACTTGGTAACATTAAACCTTATCCTACAGTGTAACTCTAAATCTAACCGATTAGCATTGACTCTCTATGCTTTGCTGGAGTGGCCCTACACTGTATCCCTACCCTCTAGCCCTAACTCTGATAATAATGATGATAATGATGACGATGGGGGGGGGGGGGGTTCTTGTCTATAGTATTGGGAGTACCCCTCCCTAATTGTGCTGCTCTAGTAGATCAATTTTTTGCAAAAAACTAAACATGGGCTTCGATTTATAATATTTGTGTTGGAAATCCCTTAAGATGGCTCCCTTTTGAGATCTTTGCCTGCATAAACATGGGCAAAATTTTCAGAATAATATCTCATCCATATTATTGCTATTGAAAAGTAAAAATCCCACATGCAAAAATCATTTTGCTTTTTCATCCAAAGTCAATTGGTGACCCTTGTGACTGAGTATGGGTTTGGACTTTGGAGGCTGCAACAAACATTCCAGTCCAAAGCAAACCTGACTTGCATTGATTATTATGGTTCCTTCTGAATGAATTGTTTTCTTCCCATTGCAGATACTCCAATGGCAGTGCACCCTTTCCAGTGCCAGTTCTGCGAAGCGGTGTTCTCATCCAGTATTCAAATGGCCCAACACTGGCAAGACCAGCACCAGGAAGACCGCATAGAACAGGAAGCACCTATCTACCAGCTCCTGCAGACATCACCCTTTGCCCTAACCAGGTCCATGTCCAACAATGTAAGTGATGTCGTCAAGGATAGCGATGGCATAACTGCTACCAACCAGCACATCTCTTTTGAAGAGTGTACCATGAGGCATGGTGCGTATGAAGAGAAATTAGATTCAGAGATCTCCCATCAAGGACACATCCAAACCCTAGCTCCAGAGAGCTCAAAGGAAATCCCTAAGTCTGTCAAGCCTTCAGAATCCAATGCTGTTGTCAGCAAGGGAAAGAAAGACTTCTGTTGTGAAATATGTGGCAGGACGTACACCACAACATCAAATTTGAACAAGCATTGTCGCACCCACACAGGTGTTCTCTATTTCTGTAGCCACTGCAAAAAAGGCTTTAGATATAAAGAGAGCCTGAAGAAACATGAAAAAATTCATTTGCCCGAAAAGAGTAAGAAAAGTGATCATGGGTGCAGGTACAGATGTCAGTATTGCCACAAAACTTTCCCCGGTAAACTCAGATTAAGTATTCACTTCCGTTCGCATCCCTGGAAAAAACCTACAAGTGTGATCAGTGTCAACGAACCTTCCTCTACAAAAGTGGATTAAAACGACACATGCTTTCACATGCTGCTGTAAAGGCCCATACATGTCCCCAGTGTCAACAATCGTTCTTGACAGTTCATAGCCTTAAAGCACATATCAAGACCCATTCCGGCAAGAAGCTGTTCTTCTGTGGCAAATGTGAGAAGGCGTTTGCTCAGAAACTAACCCTTATTGAGCACATGAGATTGCATGAGGATACCAGAGCATATAAGTGTAGCTACTGTGGAAAAGGTTTCCGTCAGCGTTCCACACTCTGGGGGCACGAGAAGATACACAAGCGTGAGAAGGTTCACAGATGCAGCAAATGTGAGGAACACTTTGGCACATTGAAAGAACTCAGGAGGCATGAGAAGAAGCATTGGGTGGCTACCCAACAACAAAGAGTTGACTTTGCTGGGAATCCTGTCAAGGAATCCCCAGAGACTAGACGATTTGAATGTGATCGCTGTGGAGAAGCATTCACCCAAAAGATAGTGCTCCAAACACACTACAGGAGGCATACAGGTGAAAAGCCATTCGAATGCGAGGTGTGTGGGAAAAAATTCAGACATTTAGCATCGAACAAGAGACATGCTTTGATTCACAAAGGGACAAAGAAGTATCATTGTGATATTTGTGGGAGATCATTCACGAAGAAGTCCTACCTTAAGTGGCATATTGCTAAGCCTCACTCCAACTTAGACCACGAAAACAGAGAGAAGGGCTGCAGTAATAAAGAGAGTTCAAGAGCTACAGGTTGCCTGACTACAGTGAAACAAAATGAGAAGATATGGAATGAAGATTCTGATAGCGTTTTATCATTGGAGTCATTTGGTGGCAGTGAGATAGAATTTGATAATCCCATGGTAACGAGTAGTACAGGTGCGAAAGATAGTCGGTCTGAAGGTGAAGTGAACTCTACCGATGACACAAGTAAGTTAGAGGATTTCACGTTGAAGCAGGGATTGGACAGTAACAGAGAACAAAGTAAACTGGTGGAGAGTCTGACTACCCCACAGGACCCAAGTCCACAGACCATTGAAGGGACTGGTGTGATAGTGTCATTCCAGGATGTTTGTGATGTGCCGATCAACGAGGAATGCGTCCACACCACCATGAACGTTCTGGACCATGTCATGCAACTGGCTCAGATTTCCCAAAGAGATGTCCAAGAAAGTCCGATTCAGATTGAAGATATTCCTTTAGGTCAGGCAACTCCAGAGGTTGATAATAGAAACTTAGTGAAAGATGCAAATGAGAAATCACCAAAGCAATCCCTTGGTATACAAAATTCTCCTGCAGTGAAACCATTTGTTTGTGAACTCTGTGGACGAATGTACAGCTCAAATTCAAGTCTTCTGCGGCACAAGCAGAGTCACCTGATCTCCAAACCGCACAACTGCCATTTCTGTGACAAGTCTTACAGCCGAGGACCACTCTTACGAGAGCACATTCAATTTGCCCACAGTGGGGAGCACAGGGCTCATCAGTGCACCTTCTGCGAGAAATCTTTCCCAAATGCAACCAGGTTAGATCTGCATGTCCGTATCCACACACAAGATAAGCCCTTCAAATGTGCAGTGTGTCAGAAGGGGTTTACAGACTCCAGCAACCTGAGGCGTCATGAGCGCAGTCACAAGGGGCTGCGAACACACAAGTGTCTTCAGTGTGGGAGGTTGTTCTCTGAGAAGCCCGCCCTTCAGCGTCACCTAGCCAGGCATCAGGGAGAGAAAAATTACCAGTGTCAGCACTGTACCAAATCCTTTGCTTTGAAAGCAGACTTACAGAGTCACAGCATCCTACACAGAGCTGCCAAGGAATCAAGATGCTCTCAGTGTGGGTTGACATTCAAGCGTCAGATCAGCTTCAGTCTTCATCAGGCTTGCACCAAGAAGAGTGCCAGGAAATGCAGGGTGTGTAGCGTTGGTCTCGTGAATGAATGCAGGAGACGCCAGCATGAACTCGAGGAGCATAAGTTTCTAATCATTGACTCAGGATTTGCTTGTGGGCATTGTGGGAAGAGCTTTAATGGAGTGGGAAAAACTGTAAATCATATTAGAGAGCACTGAGGAAATGTTACAGATTTAGACAATGATTTGCTGGCTTTTAATCAAGGCAAGTTGTCAAATTCTAGGCTGAACTCACTCAACTCAGAGACAGTCCGGAACCAAAGTAAACATGAGATCATTGGCCACTTATGTTTAAAAATGAATGGAAATAAATTGATAAAGAAAAGAATGTTACTTTTGTTTGTTTTGATGATTTCGGCTTCTGACTTTGATTTAATTTGTCCCTACTTTGGTACCTGAATATGTACAAATCAACGAACAATAAACATTTTGTTCTCTATATGACTAGGGTTCAATGTCATTATACTTTTTTTTAAATTGTTTTGTTTTGTTTTTGTTTCTTATTTTGCTCTGATTTTACAAGAGAATAATGGAGAATATAATAAATTATATATTGATATGCTTACTTTCCCCAGTCATATTTATAATGTTTGTACCGAATGAGTTTTCAGTTCAGTTAGGTTTTTCTGCACAAGCTAACATAATGTTCGTTACATAGGCATATCAGAATATTGTATACACATTGACAGGTCTTAACTCTTATCATGCCACAGGGCTAATCCCCATTGTGCCAAGCCCCAAATCCCCCCGTGCCAGGTTCTTTTGGATATATTCTGATTAATGCGATGGTTCAATGAATAGCGAGTGCAAAATACACAACATTACACAGTCTAATAAGCATGAACAATAACTGCTATTACGAATGCTACATTGCTGTGCAACAAAATAGGAAGTTTGCAAATGGAAGCATCCTTACAGAATCGATGCTGGTAAGCAAAGGCCCTGCTGGTAGAAAAAAAAGTCATTAGCATAAGTATATGTGAGTTAAAGAAGGAGACAGAGTCAAAGGGAAAGAGATAGTTATGAAGAAAGAAGAAAGAGGAATTACGAGGCTGAGAATGATAGAGAATTGAAGCATCTAGTGAAGTATGGAATACTAGACAATTATTACAAGTTACAAAAACATTACAAATTGTTATAGAGGAACAAAGGATGGTATTGTTGCTCGCTTCAAGGTAAAATAATCATAATATGAGACTAATTGCTTATTTTTGGGAAGAAATTTAACCCATCAAAACTAGTCCGCCGTAATCGGCTGCTAATTGGGCATGAGCTTATTGATTTTTTGGTTAAATTTATATATTGTATGATTTGTTTTCTTCTTCTGGTATGGAGATTGAGAAATCTAGATAGATGAAGTGAGAGATTTGTGACATTTAGAAGGCTGTAGTGGCTGTGAGGGCAAATTCCTGCAATTGTTGTTCTTCTACGAGTGTTTTGGTATCTATCTAAGTATCTTCTCCCGGTTCGGAGGTTGATTGCAACATCTCTCCATTTCACTCTATCTTCTGCCAATCTGGTGCACTCTTGCAGTTTAAGTCCACTCCAGTTTTGGTATAGCGCCCTCTATTGAAAGGATGTTGCAGAATATCAGTCATCAGCAGTCGGGCCTAAAAGTTTGTCTAGCAATATTATATTATTAAAGAGGAATAGTATGCGCATCGGGTTAATTATGTCGCACTTGTCCGACCCTCGAACATGAATTACTTCTTGAAATGGTGTGGGATCCGACTACCCCTCCCCATATTTCCCCGTCCATGTATAAATTCTCGTTGTCTTCAGTCCCCTGCGTGGGTCCCAGAATTGTGTACCCCCCCCCCCCCACACACACACACATACTCTCTCTCTCTCTCTCTCTCTCTCTCTCTCTCATATAATTATGAAACATTGTGAATGTCATTTTGCATAATCATGCACTGGCGAAGTATGTTAAAAAGGTAGCACTTTTTCTGGGATTAGGCCTTTTTATGACAGAGAAAAATGGGTTGTTGCATTTTCCGAAACAGTATTATCTCTCACTCTGTGACAAGCAAAATAATTGTGTTACACAACTATTTCGGCCAGGAATGGGGAAAGAAGGCAATGAGGCTTACATCAGTGTTCACGCGCCCCATCCCCAGATCCCTCAAAGCCCATTTCAAGTTTCATCCAGTCTTTAACTGTCGCCCCTTTTCTTCTTCTGTTGTTCCTCTCTTTTACCCCGAGTTGATCTTTTCCCGACTTCTTCAATAAATTATTGGTACTTGTCCGCTTTACCATTTTTGTATTTTCCTTAGAAAATACCACCAAAAAAAATAAATGGGGGAAGTAAAAAGAAAACGAATAGATATGCACCGTAAAAATCTGGAGACAACGAATCTTAAACAAGCTGCCCCCTCCCACAACAACCATCGAAATAAAATCTGTGCTGCATTTCCACCGTTGCCATGATAATTATGTATTGTATTTGTTTCATACTACTACTTTCCATCTGACATTATTTTAGATGACGTATCATAATAAAGACTAACTGTTTCTACTTGAACTGTGTATAAGTAATTGGATTTCATCAAGTTTCATAACATAATGGTGCGATGTTATAGGCTGTTTTGTCTAGTGGACTCATAATAATTAAGTCATCGTTGATGTCAAACATATTTTGTTAAATGACGATGAGTTCGTACATTACATGTAAAACTACATGTATTTGCAGGTATTTATTTCGCCAGGCAGGCCTTAGGCCTACATCTTTCTGAAGTTATCTCACGGGTCATTATATGCCCCCTATGTAGGCCCTATACATTTACGTTTAGTGATTTAGCAGCTTTTGAAAAATCATAATTTTCTTATACTTTCGTTTGATTTTAATCAAACTTTTACCAGGCAAGACTTTTGTTATGTGTTTTGGGATACATAATTCAGGGTTTGTTGATATATCAAATGTGTGTAGTTTTTTTCCTGCATTATTTTTAGCAACTGGTTCTAGAAATCGGGCAAGATATGCCAGTCCCAAACGAAAAAGGCTTATAAAAAAAAAGGGGGAAACAAATTATTTATTGATTTACTATAATGTAATGTTTGCGCAACAGTGATTCAATGGCTGCAACACGTTTTTTTTTCCTTTCATGTCACAATCATCTAGGCGCGTACGCAGGGGGGGGGGGGGGGGGGGGGGGGGGGGGGGTGAACCCCCCTTAAACTTTTGTTATGTGTGTGTTTTGGAGGACCCCCCCCCCCCCCCAACGAAAGAAACAAAATATCGATCGGCCAAATTTTCAAATTTTGGAACACACACAAACAAAAGTGCTCTTACCCCCCCCCCCCCCCCCTTGAAAAAAATTCTGCGTACGCCACTGCAATCATCTCTCCTGCTCTATAGAGCTCCCTCATCACTTGAAGACAATAATTTGACACAATCATGATATTCCGTCGACTTTGCCCTTCTCCGTTTTGATCGACTTATGAACTGCACTCCTAGACGTTGTAATGACGTAGTAATTTTTGCTTATTGTGAGCTGGATTTTTGTTTGGCATTAGTCCCTTTCCAGATGGACCCTCGTCCAAGGTCCTTGTTTGTTTTGTCTCCTATAGCTGGCCTCGTGTCATGTGTGTGGCATCACATGCCAATCAAATGCACTTTTGTAATGCATCACTTCTCTGTACAGATTGCCAAAGGAAACGAGTTACACGGCTGAAAATATTGGCACAGGGCGGATGTATATGGTGGCAAACTGGGAAAGTCCATCCTGATTAATTGCGTCCGCTGCACATCGAGCATCTACACCCCCCCCCCCCCTTCTCCCACTTAATTTCTCTTTCTTTTCAATATAATGTCTCTCTCTCATTCTCCCTCCCTCCCTCCCTACCACTCCGCCACGGGCCCTCTCTTTCTCTTCTGTATCCTCCGCCACGGCCCCTCTCTCTCTTTTCTGTATCCCCCCCCCCTTCCCGTATCCGCTTTTTGCAATACGTGCCTATTGTCGAAGGGGGGGGGGGGGGGTGGTTATAATCTTTAAAATAGTACATTAAAATCTCGATTTTAACATCCGAAATAGAAAAGGAATCTTACTGTGGGGCAGCCCCCGCCCAAGTTCCTCGCAAAAGCTAGCACCACCCCATCCTCTCTCTCTCTCTCTCTCTCTCTCTCTCTCTCTCTCTCTCTCTCTCTCTCTCTCTCTTGTGTGAACAATTTGACGACCTCGTATTTTGAATGTTCATTCAGTGCCTATATACGTGCACCTAAGCTTTCATATACATGTGACCTTGCTTTTCAAGTTCATCACTGGATACAGATACTAATGGTGATAGTCACCTCGACCGAGGTTCATTAATTCTGCCCACCTTCGATTCACACTCACATATTTATTTGTCATTCATCAGCAGATTTATTGTTCACTGAAATTGATGATCTAGTTCAAATAATGGATAATAGAGAGAGAGAGAGAGAGAGAGAGAAAGAGAGAAAGAGAGAGAGAGAGAGAGAGAGAGAGAGAGAGAGAGAGAGAGAGAGAGAACTATTATAATGGGCTAATACTAGAGGGGCGTATAATATCGCAGAAGGAGTCTGGGGTGGTCCCAACGTAGAGCTTGAGCATTCTGTTCCAAACAGCCTCTCCCCCTCCCCCCCCCCCCCCCCCGGCTCAGGCAAAAGCGAACTAAAGAATATTATTGTTACAAATTATAATTTTCTTTGGTATTGCTCGCTTGCTTGCTCAAGGAGATTGTTTTTTTGCTTTTCTTCCTATGTTTTTATCACCTTTTTTTGTTTTACTTCTCCCAAATTGTTTTCCCCTTTCTGTTGGAGTGCAGTGGAGAGAGAGAGAGAGAGAGAGAGAGAGAGAGAGAGGGAGAGAGAGAGAGAGGGAGAGAGAGAGAAAAAATAGAGAGAGAGAGAGAGAGAGAGAGAGGGAGGGAGAGAGAGAGAGATAGATAGAGCCGGGGATGAGGTCGAAGTTTTTTTGTTTGTTTCTAGTTTGTTTGCCTTAATAATTGCCCGGCCCCCCCCCACTCAGTGTTATTTAGGGTACGCATATGCTCGTACCCTCTTTTTGAAAGCACCCCCTATCTGAGGACTGCCAACATTTCCGAACCCCCCTTTCGCGGGCTTTTCGCGGGCTTTTCCTGCCTTGGAGACCCCCCTAAATCAGGAAAAATGCTCAATGTACCCCCCTAAATTCGGAATAATTTCTCAGGAGTCCAAAGAGATGAGAACAAAAAAGAAAAACACCCCCTTTTTAAAGAAATCTCCGGGTGAAAAGTCAAATACACCCCTTTTTTTTAAATTCTCGGGCCGGACTTTGTCGCACGAAAAGTACCCCTTTACCGGACATTTTGGCAACACGCATGCGGTCATTCCGACCTCTGAGTGGGGGGGCCGGGAATAATTGTTTGTCCGTTTGTTTAATTCTTCGTATGTACATTCTTTTGTTTGTTTGTTTATTCATAATGGTTGTTTCGAAACCGCTTTGATCCAACAACGTTAAAAGCAAACGAGCCATGGTTGCGAAATACCGTCTGAAAGTGACTTGAAAGCCATGCAGCCATCCATCCAGGGATTAGACTGTCTCCTTTGTCACCTTGACAGTGCCCACTCTTTCAATAGGAACTACGAGGGCCTAATCAAAAATTGCTGAGCAGAGGCAGGATCTTCAGTAGAAATTTGTGAAAGCCCTTTCAAAAGATGGTCAAGAAAATACAAAAACTCCTCGGTAATCTCTTTGGTGAAATTAAAAGTTCGCTCTTTTGAACTATAGCTATACAACGAAGTGGGCTGCTATTCAGTATAACTTGACAATGGTCCAATGTTCGTATTGCCAATGATGACGTCATGGGGACAGTAGTCGTGAAATCAGACCGTTTTAAGAGCATCGGGGCTAGCGTGATTCCAACGTGTCCGTAGTTTTCACTGCAAACGTCATATTTCCTTCACATTTCATCTACCATTTTTTACTCAGTGTTACTGCGGTTTCCAAGATATATATTTTTTTGTAATTTTTTCCCCTTGAATCTCTACTCTCCCATCGGATCTGTATTCTACCAACCTTTCTTTCTAGCTCATCTCTACTAGGTTATTTTTTAATCTTCATTTTCTTCCCTATAACAATTGTCTACGCGTATCCCTAAACTTATTTCTACCCCCTCTCCCCTCCCCAATCTCTCTCTCTCTCTCTCTCTCCCCCTCCCCAATCATTCTCTCTCTCCCCCTCCCCAATTTCTCTCTCTCCCCTCCCCAATCTCTCTCTCTCTCCCCCTCCCCAATCAATCTCTCTCTCTCTCCCCCCCCCTAATCTCTCTCTCTCCCCTCCCCGATATCTCTCTCTCCCTCTCTCTCTCCCCTTCCCAATCTCTCTCTCTCTCTCTCTCTCCCCAATCAATCTCTCTCTGTCTCTCTGTCTCTTACACACACGAGGACAGCACAGCTTTGACAGAAAAATCACATTTAAAGTATTTCTAGTTTTTTTTCATTTTTATTCACAAACTCGTCCTTTCCCAAGTAGTTTTTGAACTTTTCGTAATACAAAATGTTATGTAATAACGGTTAGACATATTGAAATGAACATATATATGCTGCACATTATATAAATTAAAAAAGTATAAAATATTTCAAGAACTGGGCCAGGTTGCATTAAACTTACAATTGATGGTTAAACTTTGCAATTAATGGTAAATGCCATGGAAACCTCGATTTGATAGGCTGTTTAGTGATGTTGCTATGGCAGTTGACATTGATGTAACCATCAACGGTAAGTTCTTTGCAGCGGGGTCCTGATAAGCAAGAGACGGATACAGAATAGCCATAATACCAGACTTCAGAACTTGCCAACATTTTCAAATATTACAGCCAAACATTTATTCACTGAATTATCCAAGTGATGTACAGAAGGCTGTACAATCCATGTATTGTCAATATCAGTATTAAAAGGCCTTCTTGCAGGCAACCAACAAAATTACTTTTGTGCATTCTTTGGCAATACAGTTTATTGCGTGAATGTTAAATAATTGAGACAAACATTGCTTCATTTTTTTATCAGCCTCTCATTTCTATCTTCTTTGTCTTGCACTGTATATTGCAGTAACACAAATCAACAGACGTTTTACTTCCATGTGTAAATGAAATTTGAAGTATGTTTTGAACATAAAGACCAAATAAGCTTTCCCATTTCCCCTATTTGCCTTCCCAAGTCAGTTATTTTCTTTTTGAATGACCTTAGCAAAGGGAAGTCCACATGCAAAATGTGTCATGATGATGTCAAAAACACATGAGAAACTGATCAGTGGATTCACGAGTGAAATCTGGCAAGGTGATAAACAGCTCCATTGACAACTCTATGATTTCCGTTGGTTACTTTGGTAGCAGCTCTAGATTAGTTGTACATTTTCAGGGTATTACAGAATCGTACAATATCTTCCCTCTTGGTTCCTAATAATGGAAAAGATTACAATTTTTGAGAGGAGAGAGGGGTATGTTCATGTACCAGTAAGTAAACCATGCATCTACTAAACAAAGTTTTGTATATATTGCAAATTATGAAAAAGAAATGTTAATCAGAAATAAACATTTTTTTAAAAACTGTATGATTACTTTTAAAAAATGACTGGAGAGCTCGAACAATAATCACAGAGTTGCCAATTTGTGTTTGATCAATCTGAATAACATCAAGGACTTATTTCTTCCCCTTTAAAGACCGTCAATACTACTGGGCCAGAAGGGATTAGACCACACAGCGAGGTCACTGACAGGTGGCTATCTCATTAACTCAGCTCTCAACTAACATAAGAAAGAGGATCATGGGGGATCAACAGGCACCGATTGGGGAAGTTTTCTATATAGAGGGAGCAAGAAGCTACAAGTAGGACAGTGGGGCTTTAATACCAGGAAACTCGCCCTCTGGTTACACTGTACATGTTAAGTCCAGTATACAATATAAGCTGACCAGCAGCTTAAATAAAATGACAAGCATACAAAGCCATACATCTATATAAGAATATAAAGCTGAAAAGTATTTATAAGCAGCAAAATGTATGAATGAACAAGTGTATGCACATTCCGTAAATGAAGCTTAACCCTGTGACTCTCAAATTTAACATGAAATAGTAACATAGCAGTATCAAATAGGTGCAAAAGGCAGCATACATACAACTGTAAGTAGCACATAAATACTTAAAGCCATCTTCGATGAAGCCTCGTCATTAGTTGCGAGTTGCTTTAAGTGTTACAGAATATAAAAGACATGTACTGTATTTAATCAGTATAAAATATTAGATGCATTTAGTGGAAATACAAAATTACAAAGAAAATCAAGTACAATGTTAAGAAATTCCTCGTCAAAAGTTGATGCAAAATGAATGGAACAAAACGAGTCATTATTGCCTCTTGTTACGCCATAGTGAAGGCATAAACCAAGAGGATTGATTAATAGATTAGGATTGAAAAATATATAAAATAATGCTTTTTCCCATCATATTTTGACTTTCAAGCATATGTTTAGAACTTTATGTACATTTATGGGAACTACACCTCGGCCCTTAGCACAAGAGTTCAATGCAATGCAAGCTTGGATCAAGAGCAGAATTATTCTATGTAGTGTCTGTTGCACAGGTTAATGTACTTCATCCCCCCCCCCCCCCCCCAGGAGAAAATGTCATGTCATTGCAGGTGTCAGAATAAAAGTAAGAATAATACTGTTTTAATACAATTTTCATATTTGCAACGCACAATCAAGTACGAAAATACACATACAATGTACATGTACATACATGTACAACATCACCGGTACAATGGACATATAAATGTAACTGGCTGATTTTAGACCCCAACACATGACTATTACAAGTTCATTCAAAACCCAATCTAACTGTTATTGTAATTTGTATAATCGTAATTAGAATGAAAATATTTCTTCCTTCCTTCACAAAAGAAGTGAGATAACTAAATATCATCACCTGCACACTTACTTCAGTTATCTCCACATGACAACGCTTTTGGGACAATAATGTCATGAACAAATTAAAAATAAAAACAGCACTGTGCACACACCTTCTCCAATGTACACGTACTGTACGTGTACTGTATGCACCAATTACAGTAATTTATAAAATTCAGAGACATTTACAAGCACAAGAAGCTCATAAGTCACTGCGGTTCTGCTTTGATCCGAATTGGGGAGCATTTGGAAGTGGGAGAGGGGCTAGCCGACTGCTCTCCACTACTTTGCCTTGATCGCACATTGAGGGGAGAAGCATTTCCGGCTTTCAGATCCAACGAGGGCAAGGGGTTCCCGTTCAGGTGAGCTTTCTCTGCAGCAGACTGGACCTCGCTCTTGGACTCCTGGTCAGCATGCATGGTCATGTGAAGCTTGAGATAGTTCGCATGCGTAAAGGTCAGACAGCACTCCTTACACATGTAGGGTGTGTGCTCTCGCTGATGGATCTTCCCGTGGTCGTCCACCAGGCGCTTGGTGGAAAAGACCCTGCTGCAGACTTTGCAAGGAAATCGCTTCTTGGCATCGACCAGGAGACCCTTCCGCTTAAAAGTGTTGAACTTTGAAGACAGAACCTGCACGTTTCTGGATGTTAATGCCTTCTGAGCTGCATGGATTTTTGTGTGGGATGCCAGGAGCGGAAGAGAAGGGAACTCCTCTTTACAAGTGTTGCATTGAAACTGGTTTCCGTTTGTTTGAGTGCAAGCATGTCCTTTCAGCGTTGGCAAGTCTGTGAAGGTCTTGCCACAGTGCAGGCAGGGGAACACTTTCTCTCCAATGTGGATTCTTTCATGCATCTGTTTATGGCTCAAACGGACGAACGCGCGCTCGCAGAACTGGCAAGGAAAAAGCTGCTGGTCTTCCTTCTGGACGGAGTGCAGGAGTTCATGGGCGCGTAGCCCAGCGGCTCGGTGGAACGACTTCCCGCACATGTTACACTTGAAAGGCTTAATGCTGCTGTGTCTTCGGATGTGAAGCAAGAACTTGGACTCGTGGCTAAACCACTTCAGGCAAACGCTGCACACAAAGTGGCCGCGGCCGTCATGCGCCCTCTGGTGTTCGTGAAAGTTGAAGGCATGGACGAAAGAAAGCCCGCACTTGTTGCAGACGTATGGCTTTTCTCCGGTGTGTTGTCTTTCGTGGCTCTTCAGGTTGAAACTGAAGGCGAATGACTTGTCACAGTGGGAGCACTTGAAGGATTTCTCCTTGATGTGTTTCAGGCGGTGGCGGTTGAGGTCCACCAGGCAATTGAAGGTTTGTTCACAGTCCGGGCAGTGCAGGACATGGGACGACACGGTGAAGAACGGATTGGAGAGGAGAGGTGAGGAAGGGCCGGGAGAATCGAGGTTGCTGTCCTGGCGCTGAAGGGGTGTCTTGTTACCGTTCTCACTGCCTGCAGGAGACTTGAAGACACAAGGACACTGCTTTCCCGGCTTCACACCATCATCTATAGCAAGATTGAAAAGAATACAGCCAATTAAAAATTTAACTCATGAGGATGTAGATAATCTGACATAACTATAATGCAAGTCAATCCTTGAGGCAACTGATCTGAATCTATCAGGTTACATTCTTTCCCAATCATGAAATACACTCTAACCCTATCCTGTTACATTACATATTCCTACTTGTAGATCATCCTTCCCCCTTTACTGGGCCAACCATTCATGTGTACAGGCTATATTACAAGCCGTTTCAAGTCTTCCTAAAAAAACATGCATCAAGTTTGTATCTGTGTTCCAACATTCAAAAGAGTTCAGGGCCCCATCTTACAAAGGGTTGTAATTGATCAAATCAATCGCAAGTCCTCCAATCAGGGCCAATCGTAAATTTGCAGTCTCCTATCTCTTATGTACATAGTTGCGATTGATATCAATCACAAAAAAGTTGCGATTGATATCAAATCTTTGTAAGACGGGGCCCTGGACAATACACCTACTGGATTACTAAACAATCTCTTTATTCTTACCCTCTTCATCGAAGCTCCAGTCTGCTTGGTCCGATTCATCTACGATCTCAACGTCTTCATCGTCTGAGTTGTCAGAGGGTGTATTGTGATTCTCGCAGCTATAATCCCTTTCAAAGGCATTCCCCTATTACAAAACAAAAACAAAGGATATTGTTAATATTCAGTTGTAACAAAGCATTTATTCAGAACAAGAAAAGCATAATCTTTTAATAAATCAGCTGAGAAATGGACTTCCATCCATACCGTGTGTTTCCAGTTTTCCACTACCATTTCATTTCAATATTTTTAAAGAGATTTAATGTTTTCATGATATACATGTAAGAACACTTCTGAGATTTCATTTCTAGGCCATTGTAAAACGATTTTTCTTATATTAAAAATAAATAAAAAATAAGGTAACTTCCAGTGTAAGAAGGACTCCCAGTTCGCTATGGGTATTTTAGTTTGTCATTCTTAGGGTAAGATTCACTTCAGTCTCTAGTTCCACAGCATATGTTGTTGTTGTTGTTGTTGTTTGTTTTTTTTTTTTTTGGGGGGGGGGGGGGGGTCATTTTCCCCACAGCTTTTCTTCAGTACTTCCAAGAACTAGATTGCTTACAGATCAGGGGCCTGTTTTATAAAACTTTTTATCTATAACAAATGCTTGATTTCTATGATAAATTTGCTCTCATCCGATCAGATGCCTTGATTTCAGTAGCTTATAACAGTAGCCTGTAACTTGTTATTGATATCAAGTGTTATGAAACAGGGTGATCCCACACATTTCCAACGGTAATTTCTCTCACCTTCTTGGACAAGACTGGTGAGCCTCCCAGGCTGAAAGTGCCACCAAGGCCGAGAGTCACCTTCATGTTATTCACAGAGGGCATGGCAAAGTACTTTGCCACATCCTCTGATGTAACGGTCCTCCTCCCAAAGTGGGCTGTGGCCTGTCCCTGCACCATTTTCTCACCAGACGGTGAATCCTTCGACTCTCGAGCTTCGGGAACTGGATCTGTGGGTTCCTCCGCAGAGGGAGTTTCTGACTCTGATGGAGCTGGCGCTGGAACTTTCGATGAGTCGTTGGGTGATGACTCGCAAGCTTTAGTTGCGTTACTGCAAGGGGTAGGGGAATTCCCTCTGTCGGGGCTAAGAGAGCTCCCTTTACAGAGGGCTCCTTTGTCTTGGACGGTTTGTGTGCTAGCAACGTCCAAGGATTGAAGCTCTGGAGTCTTGTCTGTTGGGTGGTCTAACTTGGGGAGGTTCTCCACGGGGCAAGGAGAATTAGAGTCGGTGTCACTTGAGCTACTTGAGGATGAAATCTCTGATGACTGCGTGTGATCATTTACTGCAAGAACAAGAGAAAAAGAACAGTAAAAAGTACCGGTAAACATTCAAATCAACAGTAGAACCAGAGGCATAGATTTCTAGAACTCAATATAGGACTACACTATGTTCCATTTGTAAAACTGTTTCCTAGATTCTCAGTATAGACCTATGGATGATTTAGTAGAATCTAGCTTACATTTGTTACAAAAGGACATTATGAAACATCAACCAGCAAAAAGGGCTTCTTTCCCAGTGCCTCTCTGTCTCTGACTCTGCACTGACTGAAAATTCACTATGACCATAACAAGCGCAAGCAAGAACTATGTCGGCAAGGGGTAGGCCAAGAATCGGTGCTTAATAATACAACACAAACTTTGCATGAAATTTCGGAAAGCCATCTAAATTTTTCACAAATTAGCAACGAACACACCAAATATGCAAATTCAGCGCTGCAATGACGCACAAAACAGCGTAAAATTTTACTTTTTACCACCGAATGAATGCTAGTCTACTTGCATTAGGCCTATACAATCTTCAATAAAGTGTAGAGGTTGTACGACTACGAGTCAAGCAAAAAATGCATGATCATGATGAATATGAACTTTGATTATGAATGATCACTGTTGCTGTTGACGTTATCGCAAACAATAAAATAATCACCAAAATATAGAATCTAGCCTAGATCTAGGCCTCGGCTAGACCGAATTTTCCGTCTCTTTCGTTCGTTAGCCTCTTATTGGGGTAGGGTCGGCTCTCTCTTTAGAGACGGAAGCCGTTTATACACATGTCCTTGCTAACGCCACGGCCAGTTCTGGTCGTAGCGTTTTGCCCCCAAAATCCCCCAAAATGTCATTTTACCTCGAGCATGTTATATTGTAAATTAGGCCTAGGCTATAATAAATCAGTTCCACTTACCAACTTGACTGAAATAATCAGTTTAATAGTCCCTTTTTAGGAAATTATGGGTCAAAATCGGAATCCATGTTGAAAAAGATTTTCAAAATGGATTTCGATTTTGACCCATAATTTCCTAAAAAGGGACTATTAAACTGATTATTTCAGTCAAGTTGGTAAGTGGAACTGATTTATTATAGCCTAGGCCTAATTTACAATAGAGTCTATAACATGCTCGAGGTAAAATGACATTTTGGGGGATTTTGGGGGCAAAACGCTACGACCAGAACTGGCCGTGGCGTTAGCAAGGACATGTGTATAAACGGCTTCCGTCTCTAAAGAGAGAGCCGACCCTACCCCAATAAGAGGCTAACGAACGAAAGAGACGGAAAATTCGGTCTAGGCCTCGGCCTGCTCGTGCAGCTATACACAATGTTATGTACCTGTAATTCTGCAATATAACTTATCTAACATACCCTCCCACGATTCAGCTCAAACCAATCTCTAGATTTGTCATAACTATAAAATAAAACACATCTCAGACTCAATCCGGATCCGGGACAAACGCGGCTCGCCCCTCGCCGAACGCCCCTAGGCCTAGCCCGCTCGGCCGGGCAGGGGTCACGCTCACGTCCGCTCAACTCACAATTCTCACCGAACACTTTGATCTCCTTTCCCGCAATTCAGAAACATCACGAATTAAATCCTTTTACTAAAATAATCCCAACAATATCAAGATAGGTGACTCACGATTTTCAACATCCATAACAAAAGAAGATGGCCAAATTCACCGGAATCCATTCTTCATTACCATAAACATGGAAAACAATTCTCTTCACGCAAATGATATCACATTCTCTATGTGAATTTGCACGTAAACAGCTGACTGACGGAAATTTCCCAAACTTTTCAGCTGGCCCCTACGTCATTATTGCTTGTACGCTTGAATGAATATGTTGCTATCGATTACGCCACAAGCGCATTATAATTTTCACCCAAAAAATAACCCAAACTACAAATTGTGTGCAATTAATTATTTGTAAACGCACTTACAGTACTTCTAATATGCTAAAAAGGATTGAAATTACCTATTACAAGAATAAAATACGAGTAGCAGTCCAGATACTATGTGACATTATTAGCGAGAGTTGAGACTATATATCTGTGGAAATTTTTTGGCAGGCGCAGGCTCATAACCGGTTAGTACTGGATCAACGGCGTGAGCCTTACACAACCCAGACGCGACCGGTTCTTGAATTTTGTCATCCAGTTTTAAACATATCTCGCTGTTACAAGGCTTGTATAAAAGTTGAACAAAATGTTTTCTATATATTCATTAGCGGAAAGGGGAACTTTAAAATACGAATAAAGAATGGAGAAATTTTTATTTGTTGTTTATTATAATAATAGTTACTTTTATAGTATTAACATTTTGTCCAAATATACGTAAAATTGATTGATTGATTTTTATTCGACAAGCTTCCAACATACAACAGTATACAATAATAACAGATCAAAAATAAGTCAGCTTGAACAGGATATAACCCACGAAAGCTCGAGAGCTTATTTCCAGTACTATTGTTTGAATTCCCAAGACGAAAATCCAATTGAAACCAATTGAAACCAACTAAAAAACAATATGACCACTAGGCCCAATAGAAACCAACAGAAACCAACAAATCTAGTCATCTCATGAATATTCATTATCACTTTACATGTGTCACAGAAAAATAAATTTATCATGATTTGTTAAGCAAATTATGACTATATATGCACATCAATTTTGTGATTTCTATTTTCCTTCGGCAATTATTAACCGATAGATTATTTTGTCTGATCATGTTACAATTACATTCACGTTTTAGCACTGAACGTTTAAAAAAAGCTCTTATGAGTCATTAATAGAAGCCCCGTATGCCTGGCTTTTCACGCTTATAAACCCTGTTCCCTAGATATTGTTTTAACTGTGTATAATAATTAAAGTATTTCGTTTTATGCTAGGCATAATATTATACGGGCATGACATTTCATCATAATTATCATGAATTCATTTATTTCATTCACATCGGGCTCCTTGTTATACCAAACTTAGTTGAAAGAACACCTTGTGTAAATTATGTTAGATACTTCAGGGAGGTGACAATTATAAGTACATCCCTGGATATATGATCAAATTAGTAAATCTGTCAAGAATGCATGTAATAAGCCCTATGATTCAATATCGTCACCATTTCGACTGAGGATCATGCATAATTATTATCTTAGCCGTCAGCAATGTCCAGGGTTAATGGGTTTATCGCGGGGGGGGGGGGGGGGGGGGGGGGGGGGGGGGGGGTGGGGGGGGGGGGGAGGGGGGGTGCACTTATAGCCACTCACCTATCTTTCGGGGGGGGGGGTCTCTGAAATGTTCTATATCGTGTAGTTGACCTCGATAATCCTGCTATATAGTTTTACTACAGGCCAATCTTCATTTTCATTGGTTCGTCAAATTCTACGTCAGTCTTGTTTATTGAAAGCACATTGGGTATTATTTGCTCTTCAAGACAAAATGCGACGAATAAGCAATTTTACCTTTCAACACAGAGGTACGACTGCGTGTATTGCCACATAAATCCGCTCATATCAGTAATAACTATTGCCTGATACGTAGACTATGGGAACAGTCAATGTTTACTCCACTAATCAGCTCGGAAACCGAACTAGTTATTTCAAAGACGTATACAATTATTGTATTTAACTTATGTACATTTTTTTTAGGTTTTTGAGATGTAACGAGTATCATTTCGTAAAATGTATTTTCTTTTGTAAAAATTGTCTCTCAATGTTATACTACAGGTGATTTTTGAAGCTTTAGCGATCGAATTTTGTATAACAAATGCAAATTATTGTTTACAAAAAGTCTTGATTAACAACTATCAACATGTGCGTGATGGAAAATTACCGCATGTCATGTGCACGTGAACAAAATAGACAACAATCGGCGCTTGACTATCCATAATCGATTATGACCTAAATATTGAGGACAACTGGCATGTAGTCTTTGTTTTCATGCTGTTGTATTGTTTAGACATTCTTGTAGGTAATAATTTTGAGAGATTTCATCATTAAAACACTTATAAATGCAATTTTAAGCTCTTAAAGACAAATTATAAATTAATTATATACCATAAATTATAAAATTAAAAGAATTTGGTGAAATATTCTATGATTCAATGATTTTACATGAAAAGAATAAGCAGTGGCTTCCACAATAGGTATTCGTGTAGTCCGTAATCACAGGCTTAATAATGTTTAAGATTTGTTTAATGCTGTCACTTTAACCCATTGCCTGCTGGACTCTGCTAGTCCCTGTATTAAGCCCATGGGAATAAGATGATCCAGTAGCCAACGGGTTAAATTGCAATTATGCGTCCCAAGCATGCATGTGATGGCCGTGTCATTTCATTTGCTCAGACTAAGCAATTCTTTTTGCCCATTTTGAATCTTTACAGAAAAGAAAGTATAATTTTGTAAAGTTGAGAGAACATTCGTACTAGGCTGCATGATAATTTGTTGCAGAAAATAAAAATATCCATTGATTATCGACTGGCCAATAAAGCCCCCCCCCCCCCCCCCCCCATAATTTGGCCTACCAACTTGTCATTGAATGAACATGCAGTGCGCGAAGAATAGTTTGATATTCCGCAAAATGCGCCCTTAATAAAGAGCCTCTAAATTATGATTCATATTTACACAAATAAACTGGTATAAAAATAAAGAACACACATATATAGTAATATTATCCATGTACTGAGAATCTGCTTCAAACTGCAAAAAAAAAGTACTCGTCGGCATGACCCTGTCTTGTGCCCTTTATATAACCCCTGAAAAAGTTTTTCAAATATGACAAGCTTTTGAAGAGTTCGACCTAATTGATTTGTCATAGTCCATGCATGCTTTTCCCATGCAGACTCATATATCCGTTAGTAAAAAAAACGAGTACATAATGATTATTATAAACTAGGCAGTGGGGTGGTTACAGGATTTTCAAGAGGACGGGGCTGGATGAGGGGAGGGGGGGGGGGGGGGGCTGGGTGGCACAATTCTGAATGAAACAATCCTTTGACAAGAAAGAAATATTAAAAGAATGAAAAGCGCCAAAGCGCATTGTTTAGTCCTAATTTTTTCTAAAAACAAATTTGGAAGAGGTCGGCCCGTTTTGGGGGTTGTGAACTATAAGGATAACATTTGGGTTTCAAGGGGGACAGGAAACTATAGCCCCAAAATCAGCCATTGCAAGCCATTATACCTATATAAAAACTTCTGATTAATTAAAATAATATGTTCAGGAAACCAGACGTAGTACATAGTCACGCGACAAACGCAGTGGCGTATAACGCGTGTCCAGCCCATTGATGGACTGGCATCATTTTGGGGACACTCGGTGGTGTTACATGGTTGATATTAATTTCAAAAGACCAACGATTGGGGGGGGGGGGGGGAGTGAAACGGGGATCTACCATCTTCTTTAGACTTCTCCCCCTTTTTTTCTCTTCATCGTTCAACTGGGAATGGGGGGGGGGGGCACTTTTCTCCCTTGTCGCTCATTTTTATATACACAGTCTGTTCTTACCATCATGGGAAGGATCGTGCCTGGTCGTTGGGGGGGGGGGGGGCGTAACTTTTCCGGGCATTGATTTCTTCTTTCCAGGGAAGTGATATACCCTCACGGTTTCCAGTTTCTTCACCTTCTTCTACTTCTTCTCCTTCTTCTTCTACTTCTTCTTCTTCTTCTTCTTCTTCTTCTTTCTCCTCCTCTTCTTTTCTTCTTTTTCTTCTTCTTTTTCTTCTTTTCTTCTTCTTTTCTTCTTCTTTTTCTTCTTCTTCTTCTTTCTTCTTTCTTCTCTTCTTCTTCTTCTTCTCTTCTTCTTAATTCGTCTTTTCTTCTTCTTCTTCTTCGTCTTGTCTTCTTCTTCTTCTTTCTTTTCTTCTTCTTTTTTTTTTCTTCTTCTTCTTCTTCTTCTTCTTCTTCTTCTTCTTCTTCTTCTTTCTTTTCTTCTTCTCCTTTTCTTTAGGAGGCCGCAGCAGTCGATAAGTGACCCTCTTGTCAGGCTAGTGCCAATGCTCGGACCCCCTCTCTTTAGAAAAGTTGTTATCCTTATAATATAAGCTAGTTCCGGGTCCCCTGTCAAACCATGTAGTATGACCTTTTTCGTTTTCTATTACATGTTCTTTACAACTGCCTTTATTATGAAAGCATTTCCCAACTTGGATTTTGCAGGCTACATAATTATTATGAATCATGCCTATTATGAAGTGGTCTATACTTTCAAACGGCTGTTGTAAAGAGGGCGCTATCACGATAAGTTATCCGGAGCCATCAAGCACAAGGCTGTGCAACGTAACGCGTGGGTCTGACAAGAAAGTGTGTACGACTCCCAGTGATCTGGGGAGTGTTCCCGGCCCCCCCCCCCCCACTCAGAGGTCGGAATGACCGCATGCGTGTTGCCAAAAATTAATGTCCGATAAAGGGGTACTTTTCGTGCTACAAAGTCCGGCCCGAGAATTGTAATAAAAGGGTATATTTGACTTTTAAAGATTCTTTAAAAAGGGGGTGTTTTTTCCTTTTTTCTCTCTCATCTCTTTGG